TTACTTAAGACTGAAAGAGTGCTTCTATTGTACTCAAAACAACTGACCTCAACTGTATTTGGTGATTGTGTATTGAGTGGTTAGATGTTGGTGTTTGAGAGTTCATTCCTCATTCACCTCTCTTAGTCACTTAGCCATTACTAAGCACATCACTATAATCTCCAAGATTGGGGCTAGTGCATACAAACTATGTCTGCCAGTGACTTAGAAGATTCACAATGTTTTTAACATGACACTATTGACACCATACATCACCCCTGCCTTTCCAAACCAGGAACAACCACTGCCACCACCCCTCAACCTCATCGACGATGAAGAACACTATAAAATCAATCAAATATTGCATTACAAACTACAAAAAGTAAAAGCAAAAAGGAGTAGAATGACAATGATGGTCAATTACCTGATCAGTTGGAAGGAATATAGACCAGAATCTAACCAGTGGATGAATGAAAAGCAGATGAATGCAGACAATGCCATACAAGACTATGAATTATCCCTAAATTAAGCTATTGGGATGATGGTCTTAAGAAGGGGGTAATGTTATGATTTTTCCTTTTTTCTCTTGTCTTATTAACCCCTATTCATGCTTAGTCAGAGTGCTAAAACAAGCACTTAAGACTGTGAGACAAAGCTTAGTCATCACAACTGGCCAAGTCTGTCATTGTCTTTCAACATGACAATGCTGTCAACAATGCACAATGAGCCTTTTATGTATGGTAATGGCACCCTAGTACAATGGGCATAATGGACTCAGAAACACACAACAAGTAGGAGTATTATTAGCACAACTTGTACAGTATTTAAGGTCACTTGCTTTGCTGGAGAAACTCAGCTTCAAGCTAAAGTTTATTCTACACCATCTCTCTTGAGCCAAACCCTTTAGCCTTGATGCACTAGACCAAGAAATCACAATCAGTGAACTCTGACATTCCACTTGAAGTGCAAAGTGACATCAGTTTATCATGTGAATCTAGTCATATGCAGCTTGGATCTAATAACATTTTATTCTAGCATCTGTTCTCTTCCAAAACTTTTTTCCTCATTCATCACATCTGCTGAAGAGGATCTGAGTGTGCACAAGGTGAAAATGGAAACAGCAGAGTGCTATCCACTGACCACACTCACATCAATACACACATAAAACTCTTAGTTTGTGGAGGGATTATAATATGATAAAAGTAGTAATTCAACAAATATAATTATCTTTTTCTATAAATCTACAGCATGTGAACAGTGATAGTGCATGTACAACTGTCCTAGATCTCTCTAAATCTCAAAGCTTTTCATTTTATCAAAACAAGAGATAGCAATAGATGTTGCTGGGCCTCAAGACAAAGGGTACTGCAGCTTAATACAATATGTCAAAACACTCCCACAAAACTCTCAAAAGGTTCTAAGCACAGCTCAGATCAACTTAAAATCTCTAACACATATAATACACAACTCAAAGCTTCACACTTTAAGCAGAAACCAATCACAAACACATTTACAAGTGCTAAAGAGCATAGATCTTTGTTCACAAGTTTCCAAACCGATCATAGACCCACAGGATTCAAACCTATGTGATTCAGAGATACAAAACACAATAAAACACTTTCCAACAGACCAAAGGGTTTGAACTTCTGCCAATCTGCAGAAATAACACAAAAAGCACACACTAATCAAGCCAAAGGGTTTGAACCTCTGTCACTTGTAGCACCATATGTCACAAATACCTCAAAAACTCAAGATGATGTCCTTCAGACACCGCTCTCTTATTCTCAGATTAGAGTGCAATCCAAAACCTCTTATCAAACTGGGTTCAAGTCCTTTGCAAGCTTCAATGCCTTGCTCAGTTCTCAGATCTCTCTCAGTGATATTCAATAATAAGTTTATTCTCTCACCTGAAGTTACAAACACAAACCCAGAGCCAGAGTGCAAGGCTTTCTGTTTCCAATACACTGCAACTGTGGAGGTTGAAAACTTGTATTCTACCTATACAATGTGGTATTTAAATACTCTACTGTAGTACTTACTAATACAATCCTACTATGGTATCTTTAAAGCATGAGACTCTGTGCTAGATTCCACAGATATTATTCACACACATATCACAGTTGCCACACTTATTCTCTTTCAGACCAGAACTGTCTGCTGTTTTCTCACTAGCTGACATCAGCTAGCTGGCCTAGCCAGGTCTGCTCACTTTCTTATTTCCCTGGTGATACATCTCTGACAGTAGTAAACTGTTTCAGACCCCTGAGATTATCTTCCATGTCTAGAGTCAGCCACAATAGTTATGTTCTCTTTTCCAGTATCTCAATATTCTATCTGGCTCACAAAATACACCACTTCTGGCCTGACATGCATCAATTAACCAACCCAATAGATATGTGTCATATCTTGGTATGATGTGGAGTCTCTTGCTGTGTTATGCATATTAAGATACCATAGGTATGCATGCAAGTTTCTGAGCAGTATGTGTACTATTCATTCCTGAGAGTAGTATTTCTCTATCTATTCCTTTGTTGCCATCATTTCATTTCTCTGTTCAACACCCTGTTATTCAGATACCTTTCTTTGGGTCTCAGTTCTCTGTTCTAAAGCATGTCCCATCAGTGCATTAATGGCTGTGCATCCTTGATCAATGTGATCAGAATTGCTAATCATATTTCAATCATATTCTTTTTATTTTTAGCATGTCCCCTTATAATGGTATTGGCACATTTAGGGCCAAGCACTGGGATCTCACATGCAGTCTAACCCCTCTGGTATTAGTCTGCTACTAGGCCATGCACTCTGCTCACAGTTACTTCAGTTTAGCCTTATGATGGCTAGGTTTCAGTGCACTCTTATCCTATTCTCAGTTACATGCTTACTGGACTGAAATGCAGTCTATGTATTCTCAATTTTTGCAATTTTACATGCCTGAACATGGAGAGGGTGTGTCACCACACTCCTACCTCATTAACTCCAACAACATTCTCTCTTAATATGCAACTAATTCTATTAGATATAAGCTAATATAACTACAGTTATAACATCCAGCATAACAGGCAAGCAAGACAAAATAGAGCTAGTAGTAGATAGAGGTATATATATATTCCTTAGTGTGTCAATAAACTAGACTTCATCAGCTAATATTGCTTTTAAAAGTTTTTAATAAATTATTTCAAAACACAAAATATTCTTATATAAAAGTATTAATCAATGTGTAGATATTAGCTAATTGAAAACTAATATATAAAGTAATAGAAGGGTGTTGGAGGTTCTAAGACACCACATTATTTGAAATAGAGTGTACCAGTCTTGTATTCTATAATTTAGTTTGCCTCTGATGCTGTATCATAAAAAATGAAAGAGGTTTAATTATGATCATGAATGATCTCTGAGTGTTATTGCATATAAACAAAGAGATTCAGATCTCAACTTTTTTTGCTCCACCATATACATGTTTACTTGTAGCAGTTCTGAACTAGCTCCTGGAAGGCATCAGGCAGTGCTAATAAAAGACTCTTGGATTTTAAAAAATATATTTTCTGACAGATAATAATAAGGTGGTTTTGTCCAATCAACCTTGCCTTTGCCTGTTTGCATGCTATATAGAGCTCTGTCATCCAGACTCCTTAGATCATCTGTACTATGATTGAATGCATCTTTCCACTGTAGTATATTTTCTAAGATCCATTCTGAAATAACCTGCAAAAAATAATCACTCTCCTCCACTGAAATGCCTATTGGCCAATGAACTATAGAGTTTTCAGCTTGCATTGAGACAAACCTTGCATCCTCTCAGTCAATAATTGCAGAGATCTGGGTAGAATTATCTCTATAGACAAAGATGTTCTGCATGAAGAAGTTGACATGGTCAAGAATGAATAGAGTAATATCATCTCATGAGATCTGATCCACTAATTTTATTAATGACTGACTTCATCCTGTTCTGTTTCTATTCAGTATGAGAAATGCTATAGTAGTACAAGTTGCCTGACATATAAACTCAATGTCTTAGATCAGCTGACTTATACTTCCTTTTTCAGTTTGCCACATCTTTCTTTTCTCTTTTACCACTATCTCTACTGCTTTTCCTCTAATTCTTTCTTACAGGTTTCTATTCCTTCTAAGTATGATGCAGCATTTCTCATAGACCAAAAAGCATGCATTCAGTCCTTATAGCCTCAAGGCTTATACCTTCAAGATCTCAACACCAATATTGAGATAGCTCATCTTCCTGACAACAGAGCTGTTTCAAGCATTGGCAGGAGGATTGGTATGAGTCATCTAGGTGTTTAATGCATATACCAGTTTGTTTTTGCTTTCTAATTCACTGAATTCCTCTCCAGTTTATTTCAACATAATTCTTCTCCCTACTCTATCTGATATGAAGACCAATGCCTACAGCAGATGACATTTCCTTAGAATATGCTAGAGATTGAGATACAATAGCTTGAACCACTATTTGTATGCTAAGCAGAGGAGCATTACTATAGTTGCATATATTCTGAGTGGTTTAGTTTTGCTTGAAGCTGAGGTGAATAAGCTAGAATATTTTCTTTCTTTTGATATTTTTGTTTTAGAATACTAGTATATACATGAAGCCAAAATGTATAGGCTCTAGTGATGTATAAGCATGTGTACAGCAATCTCTCACTCTCTTGTCTGTATCTGTTTCAGAAAATTTGATTTAACTGCATCTCTCCCTTCTCTACTAAGCACTAAATCATTGAGTGAGCCACAAGCCTTAACAACCAAGTCCAACAAGTGGTTTACACACTATATACTCAATTTCTTTCTACAGTCAACTCTCTAATAATTTATAGTGTTCAGTGGACTCTCAGAGCTATGGGTTATGAGAGACTATGGAGTTGGAGAGAGGATGTTGTAGATTAACTTCAAGGCCCTTATAGAGGCTTGTATTTTGTTAATAGGCCTATAATATAACATACTTGTAATTTAGAAGTGAAGTAGCTCATAATCTGGCTATCCTAAAGTGAATTAGCCTCATCAAGCCTTGTTTTTTATCCAAACAAAGCCAAGATGCTTTTCAAGTTCTGAGCAAATAGATCATTCATGATCTCAATGTATTTTTGAAGAGTTTTGACAGCTTGATGAGCCTCATGGCACTTAGGACAAGGTTTCAACACTGAATCATCATCACCGTCATCATCACCTTCAAGTCCATTCTCATCCATGCCTTCTTCTGCACTCTGTGATGCCATCACTGCATCAAAGATATCTTTGTCCATTGTCTCTTTCACATCCACATTCTCTATCTCCAGATTCAGCAAGGATTCAATATCCATATAGTTATGGCATTGCAATACATCTGTGCCTTGGAGATCATCAAGTGATTCCTTCAGCTGCTTCTCTATATCTGTGATAGAATCCTGAACAAGCAAAGCAATGAGAATTGATACTGACACAACAGGAGCAAGAGGAGTATCAGATAAGATTCCAGCTTTCTGCTAACAGTGCTTTATTGTGGAAGCATCCACTGATTTCCATGCAGTATCAGCAAGCCACATAGCCTCAAGTTGATTAGATTCCAGCAGGAGAGATATCACTATCAGTGATCAATAGCCTGTCAGATGTAGCTCAATCAGTAATAGGCCTTAAAGCAGTGAATGATGTCAGTATCAAGTGGCTGGATATGTGAGGTCATATTAAGCTTGAAATTCTTGACTGTTATGCACTGCAGATCATCTTCAGGAATAATATGTGCTGAGAAATTGTCTTGTAACAGCAAGATATTTCTTTTCTTCATCTGCAGCTCTGCATCCCATCACAATATCCATTCCTTATAGAGAGCTGTCATCATCTAGACTTTTGCATTATTACAGTAGTAGAACTCCAGCTGCATGTCTGACTTCTTTTGAAAAGGATGAGATTTATAGGCTTTTCCAATGATGAAAGGCTCTTTCTTGTCAGAGCCATTGGCATTTATAGTGAATGCATATATCAAGCAAACTTTGCTTCCCTTAACATTGGAATGCTTTTTGTCAGCAAGACTATAGTCAGAAGGCATACTGTGTTTTGTTTCAGTCAGATATTTTTGCAAAGCCAGTGTACTTACCCATAGAACAAGCCTGTTTCATCTATGTTATAAATATCACAGAGCTTATATTTAGCTAGGATTCCCTTGATGCACTCTCATTCTTCATTCACCTTGGTGAGATCAGCAGATCCAGCTTTGCCATGTCACTTGAATTCCTTTAAATTGTTTCACTTCTTGAATTTTAACAGCTATCCAGAGCTCAAGCCTAGTCTCTCATCCTCTGGTACCCCCTTCAAATCTGCAAACACTGTCCACTTTTAGCACAAGACTTCACCATTCAGCAAGATACCATCTGCTATTGCTTTTGTGATCTATAAATCCATCATCTCAGTTATCTCTGGGTGCTGAGTTTGATGCATGCACTTTACTTGGTGGTTATTTACCCCACTATTTTTGTGCTCCTCCCTCCACTTGTCTTCTGCCTTCATCTATGCACTGACAAGCAGCTGTTTGATTTTAGGATGCAGATATTTGGCATTGAAATGTCTTGCCATCTTGGATTGATTTCTTTCATTGGCATGATACTAATCAAGGACCTCAATGTGCTGCTGCACTGTTGCAAGCTTGCTATGCTGTCCACTAGTTGCAGTAGATGCTCCTTTTCTTTTTTTGGCTTGTGCTTTCCCACCATCACTGCAATGCTCCACATCCCTTTCTGATGCTGCATGATAAAGAATCAATACATGCTGTTCAACAGTTAGAGCATGACTTACCTTTTTTCTTCAGAGATAGCTTATTAAATTTTTTGATTTGACTCTCAAGTCAGTCATATGCATGTCTCTGGCTCATATTGAAATTCTTGAATGCAGCTTTAAAATCTGATGCTGACTTGAGCTTCTCAATGATGATGTCCTCATCAACAAAATTCCCTGCTTCATCCAACCACACTCCTTCCACTGAGACTGATCCCTTTTCAGTGAGCCTAGCAAGAATACTTGCTCATTTTGCCTCAGTATTATCTTTGCAGGTTTGGAGGGTTTTTTTCAATTCATGAATAGTTGGAAATGTCATACTAGGACTTCTAGTGCAACAGAAAAGGCAGTAGAAGTAGTTGATAATGGCACACAAGAGTTTTTACATTTCTTTGACAACAGCCCTGACATAGCAACCATCTGGCTCTCTTAAATTGACATCACTAGATGCTACTGTCAGTACAATGACTAAGTATCTATGGGGTACCAGAGAGGGGCTTCTCAGAAAAAGCTATGGGGTATGGGGTATGGGTTTATGACATCAATTTCCCTGCAAATGAGGTCAGTGGATACAAAAATCTATGGGGTATGGGGGAGTATGGGTTATTGGAGGTATGGGTTATAAGAGAGTCGACTGTAGATACATCTGGTATCAAACTACAACCCAAATTTCCCCCACACCCAGCCAAACCACAAGTGACTCACGACCTTGCACAATCATCTACATCAGCAACGACATATACTGCAACAACACAAGGGGAGAATTTGAGATATCCAGAAGCCGCAGCGATGAGCCACTCGGATACGGAGAGAAACAGACCACAACAGTGCGGGTCTGATGGTCCCTGCCCGTTTTCGCCGAATTGCATTGTCATAGGCCCTACAAAGAACTGTCCATGTAAGTCCTGGAAGCGGCAATCTGTGGAAGCCGTATGGTCATCAGCTCCGAGTAAACATCAGCGATGGCGGTGTATAGCTGATGTTGTTGGTTGGCACTCAATTCTTGCTACATCCAATTAGCCGGTACGCCTTTAATCTGAACAACATGGGTGAATTATGGGACGTCAGGAAGGCATCACATTAACGTATTCCATAGCCATCCAAGCGCTACCGACTGCATTATCCGTATCGTTGTCATAAAAGAACACGCGAGGTACAGGGATTGTGATGTGAGCCTCAAGAAATCGCAGTGTCGCGACCTGAAAAGACTAGGAGAATGAAATGAAATAATATAATTAAATCATATATCTGAGGGAAGCTTTGTGTGGGTGCTTATACCATATCCGACGACCTGCCGAAGGTACCAATAGCTCACTCGCACTAAAACGCCAACGCGACCATGGTCGTGAGTTATCGTCGTGGCTACTGCGGCGAATGCGGTGATGATGGTCTTGAAGAAAGTGCTGTTCGTAGATATCACCAAACAACCTCGGGCATACGACGACGTTGGGCCAATTCTGCCACTAAGTTCTGCTCAATCATTGTGTGATTCACGCCGTCCACGGAGAACGAGTAGGACGTGCGTTAGAGGAGCTGATCTGTTAATCGTCGTCGGTACGGACAGCGTGGTCTCAGCGGACGAGAAGCCGGAATTGTTCGGAGATAGAGGTGCAAGGGCTGTGACTGGAGGCGCGGGGGGATATGATACAACTCGTGCCGGCCTCCTAAAAGACCGTAAGGGAAACAAGACGTGGCCAAGTCCAAGAAAATCGTTTTACCAGGTGCCATACCATACTGGTTCAGGGCATCAAAACCCGAGTTCTCGGAGTATGGTTGGCCTGACAACTCTTTCTCCTTTCCTTTGTGCGTTATGGCAAAGGGTGTGGTTCCTGTGGGCCTGATGTACATTCAGTTGTTTTCACGAGTCAAAGGCGCTGTAATGCACGATCAGTGTCTAGCACCACAGCAATGAAAATGAACCTAAATTGCACTAACATCGGAGGCTCGGAAATGAATTCTCCTTACAGACAAGATAAAAGCATCGATCGGCTTCGCTCTGGAATTGCAAACCACAGAGTATCGATGGCACGATACGATAGCATTATCTGCGACTTGGGAGACGTCCTTTTCTCATGGTCTCCTCCAACGAGCAACACTATTCCACCCAAAACCCTGCGCGAAATCTTCTCCTCTGCGACATGGTTTGAGTACGAGAAAGGCCGCATTTCCCAGGAGACATGCTACGACCGTCTCGGACACGAACTCTCCCTCAATCCAGCCGACATCCACAGAGTAGTCGAAGACTCCTGCGCCTCCTTGAAATGGGACAGGAATCTGGCGAACTTCTTCCAGGAACTCAAAGATAAAAATCGCGGAGCATTGCACATCTTTGCCATGTCCAACATTTCACAGCCAGACTATGACGCGCTCCGAAACATTTCGGCGGATATGGATTGGTCATTCTTCGACGGCATTTTTACATCTTTTGCAGCCGGTAGACGTAAACCCGATCTCGGTTTCTACCGCTATACGCTTTCTCAAGCGAACCTCGATCCCTCTCGAACCATTTTCATAGACGACAAACTCGAGAATGTGCTCTCTGCACGTTCACAAGGACTGTATGGTCTCGTGTACCGCGACTTCACGGAGCTGAAGCAGTCGTTGCTCAATCTGTTAGGAAATCCGGTACTCAGAGGTCAAGAATACTTGAAAAAGAATGCAGGATGTCTTACCTCCGAATGCGCTGGACTAGCCATCCAAGAGAACTTCGCTCAGCTGCTCATTCTTGATATGACTAATGATCGGTGAGTTAATATTGCTGGCCGTCATCTTCCAGATCAGGCGCTGATAAAGTGATAGGACTTTGGTTGATTTGGATGCACCAAAGGAGGGAAAATGGAACTTCTTTCCCGGCAAGTTGAACTGATGGTTCACCGTGGTCAGCTGAGCTGATAATGATCAAAGGGAACGGCAAACTTACAACGACCGAGTTTCCTTGTGATTTGGATACGACCTCACTTGGCCTCACGGTGATTCGAGCGAAAGAGGAAGTGGCAGCATCTACGATGGATGAGATGCTGATGTATGTAAACGAAGACGGGATCGTACAGGTGAATCTTTCTCCACCTTGAATCCACGGGTGAATCCTAACTTGTCTGGTTAGACGTACTTTGACCACACCCGGCCACGAATCGATCCTGTCGTCTGTGTCAATGTTCTCAGCCTCTTCTATTCCTATGGTCGAGGAAATGAGATGAACCAGACATTGGAATGGGTGTACCAGGTTCTTCTCCATCGTGCTTACCTCCAAGGATCACGGTATTACGAGACAGCAGAGAGCTTCCTCTTCTTCCTCTATCGATTTATCGGCGGCTGTGATAACCCAGTCACCCATAGTCGTTTCTATCCACTCCTGAAAGAGAGAGTTATGGAGCGGATTGGGACGGAAGGAGACGGACTTGCCTTGGCAATGCGTCTAATTGTGTGCAACTTTACAGATGTGAAAAATGACATCGACCTCCAGACTCTTCGAGGACTCCAGCGTGAAGATGGAGGATGGGATACCGGTTTGATATACAAATATGGGTCTTCGGGTCTGAGTATTCGGAATCGAGGTCTGACAACGGTAATGGCTATTCATGCTATCCAGCGTAGTAACTTTGCTAGTTCCTCACTATGAGACAACACGAGCGAGCCTTTAGATAGCAGTAGTAAGTATTGTTGATTATGTTGTAGCTTATTGATCTCATACCATTACAATCCTGCATCGGGCATCCCATATTCTTTACAGTAGCTGTAGCTGTATGAATATGCGCTAGAGACAATGGTCACTGAGAACGGCTTTATCATCCGAAGAGGTCGTCCAGGTGTACTGCTATAGCCAATATCCTGCATCTATTTGAACAGTTAGCGAGAATTTCTAGATTAGAAGCGATGGAATTTGATCACCTTGTTGCAGTGAAACAACCAGATACGACCGGTTCAATACTTCCTAGGAAGCGACAAGTAGGTAGGTAGATAGATAGAATTACACGGCACGGTCCATCGAAGGACGCCGGGCATAGTACTCGTCAGCAGATGCAGCTTCGCACGATAGTGAAATGCGGTGAAATTATATTTCAGCGAAGCGGACGACCTGGAATGTAGATTATGTGAGGAAAGTGAGGTGATATTGGCGCATATGGGAAAGATCTGACCTAACGTCCATCCTTCTTTGAGCCACTAGTCCATTGCACAGCACATAGAATCACTGACCAGATATAGTGTTCGAGGATGAAAAGAAGTGTCGCGAGGAATGGCAAGGTAGACTGACCATTAGAGCTACTGCCTCCGACAGGACCGAATTCTGGTACTACAAAAAGATGCCTGTATGCGGCGTCGGTGCAGCCAGTGGCAAGCCTTCAGTGCCGCCCTACTATCAGCGGACCGTTAGTCGCCCATACAGTGATAAACAGATTCCGTTCGCCGCCAAAGAATGCCTAGAATGGTGTGTAAGGACATGAGGAGAAGAAGAAATATGCTTGCTCACCATCGAACCTTATCCAAACTGGCTGCATCGGCATCGTGTACTCCTTAGAAACGTTGCAGACAGACCTATGAGACGATTGTCGCGATTTGTGCGAAGGACGCGTGACGGTCGTAGTGGCGGAGAGAACCATGTTTGTTTGTTGATGTCGCCAAACAACCTTTGGCATTAACCATGACGAGCTACGCCCAACGTCCCTTCGATGGACCGTGCCGTGTAATTCTACCTACCTACGACGGCATCGACCTTCATTTTGTTCTCGCCGTTACGTTTTGATCCTTCGTTACTGCTCATCCGGCGCGACTACAGCAGACACGGGCTTCTTCATTTTGGCGATTCTACTGGTCGGTGCGGGTATCGACAAATGGCACTGCGGCTTGCTCAACGGAAAGCCAAGGTTCGTAAATGTCTGTATCAAGGTAGAATCCATTGACGAATGTAATTCTAGAACTTTGAGCGATCCGAAAATGACTTTATTTTTCCCTGATGAGGTCGGACCGGTTGATGTCGAGCGCCAGCTCAGTGCTATTCGACATTCAGCTCGGTATCGAGATGAGCTGATCCGAATGGTTGATGAGGGACCTTGTAGCTGTAGAAACAGCATGGAGACCTCAGTCCCCAATGCATGGCCATACCGATGTCACGATGAAGGCAGTATCCTTGCGGTCGATTCATTGAAGTAGTGACAGCTCCTGTCTTGCACGCTCAAGGTGCGAATTATAAATTTCTATCCAGATATCCATTAAAAACGGTGCTTTAGGAATCTTTAACCAAGCCCCCGCGTCGATGAACGTGACAAAAATCTCTCAATTCCAAGCATGCAAGCGCGCCCGAAGGACGACTAACACTGAACTGCCGCTTGTGTTCCTTGTGCGAATACCAATGGTCGTACAGATAGATATACTCGGTGCGTTCCTCTTCCCTTCATATTTAATGTCAATGTTTGACATCATGTGCACAGTACAGATGTCGGACCCCGGCAGGTCAGGCTAGCGGCATGAATCAGCCTTCCTGATAAATGTATAGTGACGTTCAATTGTGTTCGCACAAGAGCGACCTTTCTATGTTAATCCCCAACATGAGGTAGTCGCATGTAAATGTTATCATTTTTTAGCCAAAAACTGAACACCGACTGAGAAATCGTGCCCTCGAACTGGTGCCTTTTTTACTTCCGTTTGGGAACGCCGAAAAGTTTTTCTCTCTCCCTTTGAAATCCGCCTAAACGTCAGATCCAAGTCGTGGGGTAAAGTCAGCGCAAAGGAAGAGAACGCGTTCTTCAACGAATCCTTATGGATAGAGTACTCAGGTAAAGACCACTCGTACTCCCGCAGAAACGTGGCTGCCAATGTTCTTTGCTCGTACATGGCAAAATTCCTTGCTGGGCACTGCCGTGGCCCCAGAGCGAACGGAAGCCATCCGGATTTCTGCCATCCTTGTTCCAAAAATCTTTCTGGGATAAAAGCATCGGGAGATTTCCAGCGTTCTTCGTCATGATGAATGGCGTAGATATTCACTATCAGCGAAGTACGCGCGGGAACGAAGTATTTTCCGAGCCGGACAGATCGATTCGACTGACGAGGAACGATGTAGGAAATCGGGGTATTGATACGCATGGCTTCGCGAATACAAGCAGTGAGATACAGCAATGATATCCCGGAGAGTTGTTCGACGGTTGGGTCAAGATCGTCGCCCAGTACTTCCATGATTTCCTCCCGCGCCCGCCGCTGCATGTCAGGATGGCATGCAAGAAAATAGAACAATGTCGATATCGCACCGGCCGCCGTATCCTGATAACGGATGGAAGTGAATTCAATGCCATCGAGTGCAAGTAACGACTAGGCTTACATGTCCGCCGATGAATAACACGATCATGTTATCACGGAGCTCCTTGTGCGACATGGCAGGGTCCTTAAGCATGAATGTCATCATGTCGTCTCCCGGATTGTTCTTCTTGTCAGTTAAGAGCTGCATGAACCTCTCGACCAAGGTATCGATCCGACAGATGAGCTTCTTCCTAGGAAAGGTATGCTCCATCCATGGGAAGATAAGGTATATAGGATCGGCAATAGCAGCCATGACAGCATTGTACTCTTGGACAAATGGATTGTCCGTTTCGATAGCGTCGAAGTTGTGCCCGAGGACCGTCGAACCCACAGCGTCGAGGGCGAAACGTTGAGCGTATTTATCCCATTGCATAGTGCGGCACTTTCCCACAATAGCGGAAAGATTATGAGCGAGGGATGTGAATGCTTGGACGGGGATTTTGGCGCTGAACGCGTCGTTGATCAAGACGGACTGTTTTTGCCACCGCTTGCCATTGGACATGAGGAGAGTGGCGGAACCCACGAAACGCCATAAGAGAGAAGCGTCATCTGGAGTCTCTTTAGGAAACAGAGCAGTGTTATCGCACATTTCTCAGGCAAGCTGTTTACTGGGTGTCAACGATAGTATAAGGAAAAGTGTAGGAAAGGTGGCCACACTTCGAAATTCAAGATATGCACCATCCATCGGTCAAGGACCCACACTAGAACAACATGTTCATGGGTGTCCCTCGCAAATGGGATGATGAGCCTCTTGATCCGACGATCTTCAGACTCTCCAGTCAAATAACTGCAAAGGAGAGGAAGTGTCGCGACACGGGGGAGATGTCGCAAGTGGGAAGGAGGAACTGTGATTCGATAGCAGCACAATATCAGGATAAATGCTGCGATTATAATCCAGATATACATCGAGAGAGATGTGAAGAGACTATCAGCTGTAAGCGATTTAAATGTATCTCAGCACATCATCGTATGCCACACTCCGTAGCAATGTACACGTTAGTTACAGAAGAATCAAGCCCAAGCAACTGAGTCATATCTAGGTGGGTAGGTAAATTGATTGCCAAGATCGCACGGTCTTCGAGGGAGATTACTTACTGAAACTGAATCAACCAGAATCAGCCCTCCGTAGAGCTATATTGTCATCAATTATGAGGGCATGTCAGAGATGAACCAATCACTGTGGATGTACATAAACTGCGTCAAAGGTATTTGGGCTGATTGGCTGTCAATATAATAATTTCCAGGGTGATCGGCTGGTTCTGCTGACAAGGAGTGGTGGAAAGCTTAAAGATATATAACTGACCCAAATTCAGAAGTTTGACCGCTTTAATGAATACTAGTGTTTTTAAAGCCACCCCTACCCTCTTGACCGCGTATGTACTAGTACTACCGCGTGCAAGTGCCTTGCACTATCCCCAACGGAGAAACGGTTTCACAACATGCATTCCTGCAACTAATTATACGTCGCCGCAACTGTCCTGCTCTCAGGTCGCTTCTAACTTTTGCTAGCGGTACCTTATTACTGTCACCTTCCTTCGAAATTTGTTTCGGGGCGCAAGTGTGAGAGCATGGAATCTCATGGCATCAATATTTCCATCGCGGTTGTTAGCTGCTCGATTCTCCTACCTATACAGCCATCTATTCCGTTGTCCCTCTCGTTTGCGACATATTCCCCAGGTCCCTTTGCCCCCACTGATCTTGAGCTTTCTATCAGGAGAAAGCGAGGATATTCGAATTCAGAAATTAATCCTACCGTCTGCTCGGTCCTGCCGCACTGGGATAGTCGTCGTATGGGCGCTTCGATCCTGGTATTTCCATGTCCTAGATTACAAGGTGAGTGCTACTAGCTATTTCAGTTTGTATACTAACATTACCATACCAAATTCGCCAAGGAACTCATAGAAAATAAATCTATCCGCAAGGAACAGACTAATGAAGATATGCTCTTTTGGCGTTTCACCGGCCGACATAACATCTTCTTTGTCGAAGGAGACGAGTGGCGGAAACACTCCTCTGTTGTAAGGGCATCGCTCCACGGCAACGTTCCGATCGACACTTTCTGTGCCCTGGGCAGGACTCTTTTCTCTCTGCTCGGTCAGGGAGGATCCTTTTGCTGGAGTGACATTTCGCACCGTATCGCACTTGACGCCGTTGGAATAGCCATAATGGGCCATAATTTCAACGCCCTTGAGCATCCAGAGAGCACCTTCGTCCAAATTTACCGGCACATAATGTAAGGCGTATCTCGCCCATTATATGTTGCTTGCCCGACTCTCGAACGGCGGTTTCCACACAAAGATGTAGTCCAGAGAATGGATAACCTCGTTTCACTTTTCCTCGAGATCCTTGAAGAGAAAAGGGGACGGCCTGGCAATGACTTTCTCACCTACTTGATTCAGACTCCAGGCATGACGGAAGCTGAATATCGAGACAGTATCGTTACTCTCTTTATGGCTGGCCATGTAAGCTTCCATAGCTGCGAACCCATTCAACGTTTATTGATTCCTTTAACTAGGATACAACTGCAGGCGCACTTTCAAGCTTGATCTTTTACTTTGCATCTTTCCCGTCATATCAGACTCGAGCTCGGGATGAAGGTCTGAGCATCCTAGGACCCGACAGTCACCCAAACATCCCGGATTTCGAGAAAATGCCTTTCCTGAAGGCATGCATTCGGGAATCCATGTGCATTAACAGCCCGTCGACAGCGACCATTTCCCGAGTCTCCGCTGAGACCCTGCATATTGGTGGTTATGCTTTGCCCGCAGGCATACCAATCGTCCTTAATATCCACGCCGTCTTGCATAACAGTCAGACATGGAAAGACCCGGATGCGTTCAATCCAGAACGCTTCATCAGTGCCAACAGCACTGACGATGGGAAATGGATGCCCTGCGCGTAATTTCGTACTCTACGAACTTCGCACGTTATCGTGCATGCTCCTGCGGGAATACCGGTGGGATTTACCACAAGACTCGATTCATTCCAGTGGGAAGTTGAAGAATCGTTTTTCTGCGTTTACTTTAAACCTTCCGTATGACCTGTATATCAATTTCGTTCGCATTACAAAGTAGTATCTATTCTTTTGAATCGGATGCGCCGATCAATTTGTATTAACGGCGAAACATTCAGCTTGGTATACAAATTCAATCCGAAACGACGCTAACCCTGAGGGGAAGCTGGGCGCCATCTTGTTCTCGACCTCGAACCATCGGTTTGATGGTGTTTCCCCCAACGTGGTAAAAGTCGAGATCTAGTCCCTCCACTTCGGCGAAAGTAAAGTTACGCACAATCGTAGAGACCACGGTCTTGAATTCCACCAGAGCTTTACACATAAAGTTGAGACAACGAATGTCGAGAACATGGTTAGTGACGCACCAAATGAACGTCCCAGGCAAACCTTTGGCCTATAACAGAGATAAAGTCAGTCTATTGTGAGAGCACCAAACGCGAGCCGACCCATCGCCAAATGTAAGCACATGGCCTTGAGCTCGTATCCAGTCCACGGCCTTGGGAAGCATATCGGCTTTAATCCAGCCATCCGGGTTGAAAACATCTGCATCTTCACCCCATATCAACGGGTTACGATTAATCCCATCTCACACAGGGATATCTATCAGCGTTCTAGCTTGGACTTCGACCTCGTATACATTGATTCCTTTTAAGGGAATTTGAAGGGGTATGACGGTATCTTTCGCAGCCTGAACAGCGGTCGAGAGATGAGAAACAGCATGATAATCAAAAAGAAAATACTTACAGGGCGACTGAGCTCTGTCAGAACAGCCTTGGTCCTCATAGTCTCCTGCGTGACAGCCTCGAGATACGGAAGTGATGAGTTAGCGAGGTCCTCGTAAGTGGGTTTACGCCCATGCGCAACTTCGAACTCTATCAATTCTGTGCGCAGCCGTGTTTGAATCCTCGGATTGCGAGCCATTTCATAGAAGCATTCCTTCAAGCACAGATAAGTTACGTTCAGGAAGGCAGGACGACAGTCATACAGTAATAACATTAGCCGTCATCTCTGAACCAGCAAAGAGAATACCAATAACCTGTCTTCAAGTCAAAACCAAAGCTTCGTTTGCACCGGAAAAGTCACTCACTTGCGCAACAGCGACATCCGGGGCAACTTCGCTCTCCGCTAAGGCGATGAATGAGCTGATGGTTAATAGAAGAAGAAATCATTCTCATACAGAGAGAGTTCAGCAGTTTCGCATGCATTCCAGCGGCCTCCTTGCCCGACAATACATTCCTCGCAACAGCTCCCAAGGAGCTACGAAGATCGTCACACCAACGCTTCATTGGAGAAGGAAGGCGAAGAATAATAGGGAACCGAGAGGCAAATGCAGAGGGGATGATATCTGACAGTTTACCAGCAGGAGAGTCTGTTATCTTGTGAAGTAGGGTAGGAATATCACTGTTCGAGGTACTAATGTCGTACATGAACATTGTCATACTGATGGCGTCCAACCTGTTTTCAATACAGATCAGTATCTGCAGTCACAGAGCATTATGGATGCATTTTCATACGTAAGTCGATGGATTTCAGAGGTCACGTCGAAAACGAGACTCCCGCCTTCCAATTTCTGTCCCCGTTTATCCTTGAGCTAGCAATATGGATGATTAGTGAAAAATCCAGATCTTCTGTAGGTTACGCTCACTCGTTCCACCAGGTCAAAGGACACATGGGAAACTTGTTGAATTGACTGATTTCTGTAGATCAGTTAGACACCATTAGATGAGAGATAACGAAGTTCTGTACGTGAATGGTACATTCAGACATTTGCGCATTTTCTTGTGCTCTTCCCCTATGTACAGATGTGAGAGAAAACACGAAATTCCCAAAGGCCACCCACCTTCGGCGCAGAAAAGACCACGACCGAACTAGCGAAGAGAAAGATAAGAACAAGAAAATTAACCCGTAAGCAAGAACGAACGAAAAGCTCAAGCGCAACCCTATCGCTCGCATTGCGCTCAAAGTCCTGATTATGAAGTACATGATTGAGACCTTTCGGGTCTCCAACGATGAGTCGAGGTTCCTAAAACGCGGTCTTGAGTGAGTGCTCATCGTGCAGCTAACAGAATACTTACCCAGAAGGGACCAGATAGTCGGTATGTAGGTCCATATTCGCGAGCCCATTTATTATGTCGAGTACCAATTGGCGCCCGGTCAAGATCCAATGCGTGGCCAAGGAATAAACTCGGAGCTGGTGGTCCAGGGACTTTAGCCAACGACGGAGGTGCTCTCCACCACGACCACCATCTGGAAAGTATAAGGGTTGCTGCGAGAATTCCTACCAAGACACTGAAAGATGACACGAGAGTAAGTAAATATGCATGCACCGGCGTGCACACCGAAGAGTACTCGTTGACCGAGTAACCCGGGGTCCGCAGTCTAGGGACCGAAACCACGCCGATGTAGACATCCCGAGAATAGTATCTTTGAACAGGGTGATTGATACCGACGGCCGAGGCAAGTCTCGAAATGACCATCAGATTCTTCCCGCCCTTTATGCTTTCGGTGGCACTTGTATTGCACAATTGTCAAGCTTAGCGCAACGTGGTAAATTTCCGTGGAGCCCCGGGAGTTCCTACAAGCGTTTGGATCTTATCTTTTTCTTTCTCACTGACGTCTACAGGACACCAGGCTTTACCAGTGAAAACGACGTAACATTCCTCTTAACTCACTTCATACATTTTGGAGATGCCTCGGGTTCTCAATCCTAGAGTCATATTTAGTTCTATTCCAAAAGGCCCACCTGATGCAGAGACCTTCACTTATCTGGAAAATGAGAACATCGACATTGAAACAGTCGACCTCGACGGTGGGATCCTTGTGGAAATACTGGCGCTTAGCCTGGATCCATACATGCGTAATCGAATGAGGCCCATCGAAGAACCTGCAGATATGCCCGCGTTCGGTCTGAATGATACGTGAGTCTTACATTGATACCGTTTCTATTATGATGACTTAGCCGCTTATGCTATCAGTGTCACAGGCTTTGGTGTCAGGCGCGTTTTAAGGTCTGAGGGAGACGGGATTGAAGCTGGGAGCCATATATATGGATTCATGCGTATATTATTCCACTCGCGGTTCACGAATTAATGTTCTCATAGAGAGATAGCCTTCAAGAAGTTTGTCGTCTTTCCGACTACAACTGCTATGTCCTTGGAAATCTCAGGACTCGACTTGAAAGTCCTCAGCAATCCCTACGGATTGCCGTGGCATTACTTCGTTGGCGCTCTAGGTATGTCTGGACATACTGCTTACTATGGGTTGAAAGATCTCGCTTCACCTATACCCGTAAGGCGTTTTATTGCCGAGAGTTTATCTGATTCTGACGGAATACTCCTAGGGTCAAACTCTATTCGTTTCTGCTGCGTCCGGTGCAGTCGGCCAGTAAGCTCATTCTTTCAATTCGTATACACAAGCACTTACTCTGAACCACGGAAAGTCTGGTAATACAAAATAGCAAAGATTCAAAAGCTCAATTTCGGCCCTCGGCTTCGCGTAGAAGATCTTAATATACATAAAAAGTATGTGCGACTTGAATAGAGCTGAGACCAGCAAAAGATGTGACAAAAACACCGATGGCTGAAAGCGAAGCCGGGGTATCTAACGGTCCTGGCACACCGAACTGAATTTGGCTTTACTTCCGCTAAATGCCGCCGCATCCTCCGCTGGCGGGAATAAAGCATGGACAGGCGTGGTTCTGGCCCGGCATCTCGCCGTCAACGTATGGACGTCCTTTCTTTTGCTCTTCGTTGACATCGAGACATGGGCGTTGTGCATTCATTCGTCTCGCAGACATGGCCCCAAAACCAAAATTCTCAGTTGATGACATTCCTGACCTTTCTGGGAAGGTGGTCATTGTGAGGGAACACGGGTGTTGGATTTGAGAGGGCGAAAGTGATTTATCTTGTGATGTACTCCTTGACGACGACTGATCGTTTTATTCACAGGCCATTTTGCTGCCCAACGCCAAAGTTTACTTGGCCTGTAGGAACGAAACGAAAGCCAACGCCGCTATAGAAAAGCTTCGTGAAGCCACTGGAAAAGAGCTATTTACTTGCCTCTGGATTTAGCAAGTTTCAAATCTATTCAAGTTGCCGCCAATAACTTTTTAAGGTTCGTTCTAGCGAAATCTAAAACCTCAAGATACTTATCAAGGCAACAATCCTATAGCAAAGAAAAGGAACTTCACATCCTTTTCAACAATGCGTATGTAGAAAATTTACCTGGGGATGCGATGAAAAGCTAACAACATCTCAGAGGGGGTTTGGAACCTGATGTCGCCGAATTAACTGATGAGGGATATAATCTCACCATCGGTGTCAATGTACTCGGTGCGTATTTCATATGGTCGACTTCCCAGCCCTGAGAAGATCCACATCACAGGTCATTTCTACTTTACGAAGCTTCTTCTTCCGGCACTACTAGCGGTGGCGCAGAACTCTGATGGAGCAATCAAAGCCCGGGTTGTAAACACTGCATCGGTCGCAACAGAGTTGACTAGCAAACTTGAGTATGAGGCTGTCAAGGAGAGCCCTGTCCGAAGAAAACTGGGAACCGAACCTCTGTACTATCAAAGCAAATTCGTTCGTCTGTTTATGTGCTACAAAATACCACCTGATGTCTCCTACAGGCCAATCTGGTGTACTCCACTGAATTCTCGCGTAGATACGGACAACAGATTGGTCCTTCTTGTGTGAATCCAGGTTGGTCTTCTCTTTCGCGTGCCGTGCAATAAATCAAAACGTGGAACAGGTAACCTTGCGACGGAACTTCAACGAACCTTTCGGGGAATGAAACGCTTCATAATCGTACGTGATAATACAGTCCCGTCTCGTCCTCCACTCAATTCATTCTTGCTGGTCTCGCATTCTATACCCGGCCTCATACGGCGCTTTAACGCAGATGTACGTAGGAACATGTACAGAAGGTGCGACGTTCAACGGAAAGGTAAGGGATGGCTCCTACTAGAATAACACCCCGATCGATTAATGATGACGGTCCAAATTAGTATTTTGTGCCCTGGGCACGTCTCTGGAAGCCCAGTCCCGCTTCTCAGGACATCCAGACCAGAGAACAGCTGTGGGATTGGCTGGAGGAGGAGCAGGTAAAAGATGCTTGATTTTCGGGTGATACATGCCATCTTCCCGTGGGCATCGTAAAATGAAATCGAGTTGTATCTTAAACTCAAACGCCACCGAATTGATGCGAACTTGACATGATGTTGGATCGATTACCGCAGGACTCATTGTGATGGATTCCATCTGTTCTGAATGTATTTTTAGGTGTGCTCTGATGGTGATATATATGACTTTTTATCCATCGTTTGTCTTTAGTCCATGCCCAGACAATTATGTCGATTCAACGCCGCTCTCAAATCTTCTTCAGAATTAACGAGGCGTACTTGATATCGGCTTGGGTTGCATCATTTCTTTGGGGTATGCACAGTTACCCCGTATCTGCTTCTAGCCATTGATCTGGAACCAGGTTGCTTCATTGTCCTTGCCGCTTACGCATTCTATACAATCATCTCAATCCGCAAATCACGTTCACCGAACAAAGTCGTAACTTCCGCTATCATTTTGTTGTGAGTAAGCTCCACCAGCCGATGCATCTGAGTACAGTTGACTATCTCACAATGCATATGGTCGGGAGACACCAAAACCGTATGCATTTATAGATTTATGCAGAACCAAAATAGCACGTGATGTGACATGTGACTTTATGTGACAACATCGTCATTTCCCCAAAATGCTGTCAGTGGCTTTTGGGTCAGCTTTCCATGCATCTCCTTGAATAATGCCCCTCTCAACTTCCTCAGCTGTGGTACTAATCCACCCTGGTCACCTTGTGAAACACAAAATGCCTCCAGCTTTTGAATAAGCTCAAATCCTTCCCTTGTAGTTATCAAGGTCTGTTCTTCCTCACCCTCCTCTTTCTCTTCTTCCTCCTCATCATCGTCAATGACAGTTATTTCCCCATTTTCTACTGCAATATCATGCTTGACAGCAGCAACAATCTCCTCATCTGTTGGCATCACCTCAAGATCTTCAGTATACTCTTCTGCAATAGAGTTAACCATCTCTTCAATGGTTGGAATGGGACCAAACATGCGATTTCATTGTTTCAATTCGACAAGATGGTCCTTCAACATTATCTCTGCTGTCTGGAGCTGTTGAATGGGGTCAATTTGGGTGGGAGGTGTGTTCATTTTTGACTGTGACGAAGAAGCCAACTGATTGACTGCCTCCAGTGCTTTACCAACATCGTTCTCTGCATTCATAACAGCCATAAGAGCAGGACGCCAGTCAGCATCAGCATATTGGTTTCCAAGCAGATCCTGCAATGCCTGTTCGATCCCTGGAAGCGTGTATTTGTCTGTTGAGGCAAAGTCACGAACAAGGTTCCATGCAGACTTGAGGAGTGAGGCAGCTTGGAAATCATTGGATGGTGTGGTAGACTGTGACTTGGGTGCATTGTCAGGCATTATACCGGTGTGTTTCCAGCAGTTTGCTATCATTTCACTGCTGACATTTGCCCAAGCATCATGAGCGATAGTCATAGCTTCAAGGAGATCAAGCTTGAAGATCTCAGACTCTCCAAGATCATCGAGATCAAGTGCACGGATACACATGGCATTCCGATAATGTGCTTTGAAGCAGCGGATAATACCAGCATCTAGCGGCTGAACATATGGAGTCATATTGGGCTCGAAGAACTCCAGCTTTGTGTTATGGGGTGTATAAGTGTTGGACTGGCGCTGATATGAGACAGGTAGATAGCACGCTCGATGACATCCAAGCCTATCAAGAGATACCGGACTCTCCTTTTGATAATCATTGAGTCTGGTGTCCTCGTTACTATTGCAAAGGCGTTTGAGTTTGGTCTATATCAATACGCGCCGGGCGATGGCTTAAATGGTCTCAATGCGATGTACATTCCTTTTGATTGTATGCCACAGACAATGGTATGTGCACATATTACTAGTAACCTTCTCTCGGTTCTGATTTCATATTTTATAGGGTATCGTCCCAACATTGATTGTCATCGCTGTTAATAAAAATATGATGGCTAATCTTACCGTCTTAACCTACCCCTCGGATTACCGTTGTGGAGTGCTCCGGCACGGAGACGTAGAAGATGTTACTGTAGAAAAGATACAATTTGCGCAAAACTCATATCAAGCTCCAGGCGACGAAACAGAGTTCTCAGAGGGGCCTGCCTCACAAGGGCCTGCCACCATTCTGCTTCAGGACGTCAAGCCTGAGGGAGCCGTGTCCATGGATGAACCTGGAGTCTATCGCATCCAATCTGTGCCCTGAAGAGCTTTTTCATTTTCCTATACATTCAATGTGTTTTATTAGGCTTTCCGCATATAGTAGTTGTATTTTCCCTTCTTCATCGGGCGTATGTCCAAGGGTCGCGCTACTACAAGACAGCAGAATGCTTCCTCTTCTTCCTCTATCCATTTATCAGCGACTGTGATGATCCAGTTGTCCACACCCGCTTCTATCCGCTCCTAAAAGAAAGAATTACGGAACAAATTGGGGCAGCAGGAGATGGACTTGCCTTGGCCATGCGCCTCGTCGTTTGTCATTTCACGGGAGTGAGAAACGGTATCGATCTCCAGACTCTTGGAGCTTTCCAATGCGAAGATGGAGGATGGGACACTCGTTTAATATACAAATGCGGGACTTCGGGCCTCAGTATTGGCAATCGGGGTTTGACGGCAGTAATGGCTATCCACGCTATCCAGTGTAGTAGTAGTCTGGCCAGTTCTTAACTATAAAACGGCGACGAGCGAGCCTTTGAATAACAGTAATAAGTATTGTTGATTATGTTGTAGCTTAGTGACTTCATACCAATCGTGTATCGGGCTTCCCGTATTCTTTAAAAGTAACTGCAACTGTATGCATACGTGCCATATCCAATGGCCACTGGCACTCAGAGCTTGTCCATCGTCCAAAGAGAACTTCCAGGTGTATTGCTCTAGCCAATAATCCTGCGTCCATTTGAACAGTCAGCGAGAATTTCTAGATGAGAAACGATGGAATGTCATCACCGTTCAGTAAAACAGCCAGGTACGACCGGTCTAATACTTCCTAGGACACACAAGTACTCGAATGCGGATGAGGTTTCGCGCAATAGTGAAACACCCTGAAATGCAAGAAGCGAACAAACCGGCATGTATATCCTGTAAGGAAAAGGAAGTGATGTTGGCACACATAGAAGGCCCCTGTTAGGACTGTTACGGTAAGACAGTCAAAAACTAACGGCTCCAGTACTGTCCATCACAGAGAATGGTGGAAACATTATTTTTCGATGTCGATGACCTTGGCAAGTACAATGTTGTGGTATCCTGTACTGATTTCAGGGTCTCATTGGCACTGAATAGGAAGGATCTAACCTTAGATAATAAACATATCCTTTTTTGAGCCACGAGCTCATGCATGGAATACTTAAGATGATTAGATCGGCCCGCTGCGGTAGATGCTATCCAGCCATACTACCCGATGATAAACAAAAGGTCACGAGGAATATCAGCCCATATCAACGATCGTAGAGGTGCTAGAGCTAAATCCTTGCAATAGAAGGCGCTTTTAGGTTGAGTCGGTGCATTTCTAGGCACAGTTGGAGATAAAAGAAAACTTTGGGATTGCTGATTTGTCGATTGGCGATTGAAAGACTAGCGTTAGGCTGCACATAAGAACGCGGAAGAAGGGAAGGAAGGATAGGCTTGCTCACTGAGCCAGAAAGTCTTGCGCCAACTGGCTGCCAGGAATGTTACGGAAGCGTGTACGAGCTGATGTTGGTGTGACTTTCGGGGAAGACGCGTGATTTGGCCTTTGGCAACGACATACATCCTTCTTTGAACTACCACTGCCAGTCCACTGCAGGGACGTATGGAACAGTTAGAGCATGCCTTCCCGGTACGTGCTAGACAGATATACAGTCCAATAATGAAAAAAGGTGTCGCGAAGAATGGAAGGGTAGACTGAGGTAGAGCTGCTGTCGCCGACCAGAACAAAACCGAGTCATTATTTAGGTCGGGGTCGGTGCAGCCAGTTGCTACCGCTAATGAACTGCTAGCTATTTGCAGTTTCCGAATAAAAGGTCCTGCTCTCCGTTAAATAAGCCTATATCGAGCGTAAGAATGCTGGGAAGAGGAAGAGAGGCCGAGTTTGCTCACTGGGCCAAAAATCCTCTCCAAACTGGCTTCCAGGCCCTTTGTCGGCATCGTCTAGACCTTGCGAGGCTGAGAAAAATGCCGCACCGACGTATACTGGCTGCTATTGGGTGATTTTGGGGGAAGACGCGTGATGGTCGTGGTGATGAAGAGAACCGCATTCGTTTGTTGACGTCACCAAACACTCTTTGCCACACGACGACCTGGACCTTTTCACGTTGCTACGCTCTGCAAAGACAATTCTACATCTTTGTTCTTGCGTCGGCCGCAGCCACAGGCGCTTTCATTGTCCTGTACTCTGTCGATCCTAGACTGAGCAGACAAATTGGAATTGGCCTTGCTCAGCGGGCAGCCAAAGTTCGTAAATATTTGTATTAATTCAGAATACATTGACCAACGTACCTCTAGAGCAAACCGATAATGACTTGATTTCTCCCTGACTCGGAATAGCCGATGTCGAGCATCACCTCAGCGCTTGTTCATCTCGTCATCGAGACGAGCTGATTCGAATGGTCGACGAGGACCTTGCAGCTGTAGAAAGCAGCATGGAGAACTCAGCCCTCAAGGGATGGCCATGCCGACGCCAGGGCGAAGGCGCCATCTTTACTTTGTATTTGTCAGTGCCCTGCGCGTTCAAGGTGTGTAAATCTCAAGTTCTGACTAAATATTCATTGATAACAGCATTTAACTAAGCCTACGAACGGCTCAAAAATCTTACGAATAGCCAGATTTCAACTATGCACGAAGAAACTGATGTTACAATGAAAGCATCAATCTCTTCTCCGAGCTTGGGTTAAGCACAATTGTCTCGCAACTAACACAGGTGCGTTCTCTGCCTCTCGATATGTGTTTAACGTCGACGCTTGAGATCATGTCGACAGCACGGGTGTAAAACACTGATGGGCCAGGCCAGTGGCGAATCCGGGAGATGACATGATGACTTTCATGCTCAAGATCTCGCCATGTTGCATCGGGAGCTACGGGATGATATGATCACGCTGTTCATCGGGGACATGTAAGGCCGCTTATTCTTGCATGAACAAGCGCTGGTACTGATTTTGGTGCCTCATTAGGATACCACTGCAGGTGCAATATCCACTCTATTCTATATCCTCGCGCGACGGCCAGACATACAACGGCGCGCACGGGAGAAAGTTCTGAACGTTCTGGGTGACGATCTCAATCTCGACCTGATTGTCGAACAGCTCTCTGGAGTTTCATTATCGTATCTTACCGCGTGTATCCGTGAAGCCTTGCATTAATACACCCATATCCTACATCATCCACCGCCAGGCGAACCAACCTGTCCAGCTCGGGAAGTACTCTACTCCCGCACATACTCCCCTGATTGTGAATATCTACGCTATCCACTACGACGGCAGACGATGGGCATCTCCCGACTCTTTCAATATAGAGAGGTTTCTACAGCGCGGATGGTAGAAGTCTGGATGGCTTTCGTTCGCTCTGTTGAAGTAGCACACCCTCCATGTCGCTCTTACCTTACATAATCGTAGCTACCAATACTGGAAGTCGAAAGTCAACGCTTACTAGCTTTTGACCTTCGACTCCAGACCTGGCTTTCCCTGCTGCGCTACGCAACCTGCTCTCAACACGCTCTTGGTCCGCTCAGTGCCCTGCGAGAAATTTTGCGATGTACGAGCAGAGGGCGCTGGCGGCCGTGTTTCTCAGGGAGCATGAGTGGGCTTTGCCGGAGCATTCTATGGACCATAGGGATTCGTTGAAGAACACATTCTCGCCATTTGCTTTGATGTTGCTTCATGATTTGGAGCTCACGTTCACGCGAAGGATGTCATTAGGTGTCCCGAAAGATGGGGAGTAGAGTGATCATGTGTGCTTCCATGAGCCTCGAGACTTATTTACAGTGAATGATAGGGTTTGTAATGTTGTCTGTCTGTGTATGTACAGTTGTAAACGAATATCCTAATATTAGTTCTAGAGATCATTCCATTGGATATGATTACAAGGACCTTGGGAGCCGTGACCGGATTTTAGGTGTCATCGAATACGACCTAAGTGACGCGAATGATCTCACCAGAGCATTAGTTCGGAGCCAATAGTTATAAGGCCCGTCGGTCTGAACCCCGGAAACATCGACGCGGAACCTGCCATTCAATGTGAATTTGGGTCACATAGTGCCCAATCGAAGTTCTTCCAGGCTGTTGCTCTTCTTCCCGAGGGAAAATCAGTGTCAGATTGTGGATTGACGAAGATCTCGATGCGGATATTAGTGATGTTATTATGGGGGGGGAACCTTCTCTAGGGACGATGCCCACCATTGGAGGCAGTCGCTGGTGAGCCGGAAGTCGTTTGTGCCATCGAACGGAATAGGGATGATGAGCTTTGATACTTCAGACAGCGAGGTGATAGGTGGTACATGCACTGTAGCGGTGTCATGTTTAGTGTACACCAGACAGGGATTGAGAGCGGGACTGACCAAGATAAAGGTCCCAGTTCACTAGGTAACATGGCCTCGACCAATCTGGAGACATTTTGGCAGATGTTCCTACCACCCTTTCCAGAGATTTCTAGCCGTCGGGCCTTAGTGATCGACGGTGAGGACCAGAGCTGGGAGAGGATATCCAGAAAGTTAGAATCTTCGCCAACACAGATAGTCAGACTGTAGAGCACGGAACAGCGGACTGATTCATTGATCGTGGCAAGGCGCTGCCCTAGGAGGCTTGGAGTGGGAACGAAAGAATGAGGGAGCAGAGCTCGTCGGCGCTGAGCGAGGCATTTGCCAAGTCAAGATATGTGATGTTGGGGAACGCAGTGACTGAGGCATGCCACAAATGGCGGTCTGCAAAGTGGGACCAATTTATATCGAGGAGGAAGAGGTTCTTGGTGTACCCATATTGGGCGAGGGCTCTTAGGAGCGGGAGAAGGAATGGGTCGGTGGGGTTGTTGGATGAGCCATGGGGTTTGATAGTTAGGAAATCCAGCTGGTCGGGGGTGTCGTCGAGGGAGCCCGTGTTGAGGAGGGCGTAGAGGTCCTGGCAGGTGTATTGTTGTCTGTAGTTCGTGCTCAATTCCATGAAATCAAATTGCAGCGGACGGATGTTAGACACTTCCAGGAGGCTAGGAAGGCTATTAGAATTTCTTAGGTGATGCCAGAGCAATGGCGACTTATTTGGATGGTGGTTTATCCATATTTATTTGAGAAGAGGGAAGAAGAATTGCTGGAGGAATGGCTCCAACGCGGACAGCGTTTTATATGACGGTTTTGGACAATGGTGCCCTTGAAAACAAAAGAGAGAAAGATAACCAGCAACCGGTAACCATCTAATGAGCAAAGTCAACGTCGAATTTCGAACGCGTGGAAAGCATGTGATGTCCCCGTTGAGATCATTACGCCTGTCACAAAGGCAGCATAAAATTTCCTAAACAGTACTCAGCCGTGGAAAATGCAAAGGACGAAGTGGCACTTACCTTGCGACAGCAAGGCCTGGGATTTGAAACTTGAAGCCCTCGAAGGTCCGGAAAACGTAATATAAGCAGCGAAAAAATAACCGTTCTGTGAGATATTCAGCTGTTAGAAAGATGAGGGGGATAGGCGATTAATGCCGGAAACGGTGAACAACATTGTCGCCTAGGCACACTTGGACGATGAGCCGGTGTTTGGCCCTGGTATTCTAGGGTTAGGGTTTCCATCCTTCCGCCAAACCATCCATCATCGCCTTCCTTCGCGCTGTCTTTTATCCTTCTATTCCATATATTTCCAATCTAATTATCTCAACGAGCCTGATGAGCTAGCTGCTGCACCGCTGTTCGCGTAGCATGTAAAAAGGCGAGAACCCTGACCAGTGAGGTCGTCTTGGTCAGTACTAGCTTTTTCAGCGTCGACATCGACGTCTCTTTTCTCACCTGCTAGCCGTTCTTTAGAAAGATGACATTGCCTCAACCAGCTGACTTTGAGGTCCTCGAATGAATGTTTAGAGGAGTGGCTCGAACGGTGAGCAAGGATGAGCACCAACCAGGCTCACGGGAGCACAGTAGGGACGTCGCCTTACCTACCTCTTGATTGATGGTAGTATCAACGCTTGGATATTGCAGACGAATCGTGACTCGCGCTGTCCATCCTCGATTTTACTCGATTGCCAGATGGCCGCTGTTCCAAGTTGACAGAGATGACGCGTTAAAGTCAGAATTTGCTCTCTGGACGGTATCTACATCAAGGGTCGACTAGCCTATGCGCTTATAGCTACAAGGCAGACCCCAACGTCGTACAGAGAACAAGACATTGGAGGCCCGTTCTATCTCAGAAGGAGAAAGTGAATACGCTACGTATGGTAACTTGTTGCAAAATTTTCACCATTCCTTTTCATTAATATCGTGTCAGCTAGTCGATATTCACGTTTAATATATGAACATCTATCGTTCACTTTGCCCAAATTTAGATTGTTGCTATAGAAACATGTGAGATCGAAGGCTGAAGCAGCAGCTTGAACTCCGCGTCGGCCCCGGAAAAGATAAACAATGATGTCCCGAGCACTCGTAATCTTTTGCTCGCGTGTACCGCAGCTTTCTAGGTCATTGCCACTGAGCATAAGCAGGAGATAGACTAATCCCAAATATAAGACAAATTCTACAAAATTCCTGTCAATTATAATGAACCAGTTCTCCCCCAGTGACCTTTGAACGCTCCTCTTACCTCAGGGAAGATGGATAATACAATGAGTGGCTGTTGACCCCAGAGTCGAACCTCCTGCGCAGGCTGAACCGTCGCTGAAAATCCAAGGGTTCAGCACTCAGCCCCGTCACCCAGAATTGTACTGTATCTTTGTCTGTCTCCGGATGTGATCTCGATATCATAGACCAACGGATGTCGCCAAATCTCCAGCATTGCTCGACACGAGTGCTTTATATTCGCTTAATATTATTCTTTGTCCATGGTAAATATATTATTTGATGGCTCGGATGCCATGATATTCACAAATTGTGCATTAACTTAATGATCGATTGCAGTCTACCGGATCTCAGCGCTTGGGTGGCCAAAGCGCTGCTTTGTCCATGTCAGCGAACCTGTTGTCTGTTGTTTTTACTTTCGATCATGGCCAGGTTGTCTTTCTTTTCCACCCACATATATAAAGGTCGGGATGCCTGGCTCGGAAATATCATCTTCTCCTTCCTCCACTACCTTTCCCAGAATATCTTTCCTCAACTCTGCGTAAGTTTGGCGGTTATCAATTCCATGGATCTATGCTGACCGGTTCACAGAATAAACATGTCTCTCTTCCAGATAGGTCCTCGCGAGTATCCAGACCCACCCTACAGTCAGATGTGCGACGATCAGTCGTGGAGAACCTACATCGACAGCCAAGTGTACATCTGCGGCGGCAAAAGCCCAAGAGAAGTCATACGTCCATATAACCGGGACTTCGTCCGCCTCCTACACGATATCGCCCATTACCATGTCCAGGGACAAAATCCGGTAAAAATTATAGCTATCAACGACCTTTCATGGTCCGACTTTGGCGATGATCGTTTCGCATACCACACCGCCCTTGTGTCGTTCCCGTCTGTCACTTCTCTCTTCCTAGACAAAGTCCACTGCAGCTGCAACGAGTTGTACACTCTTTTGCGCTCCTACACCAACCTTCAGACCCTGAATATACAGCGCCTGATACTTGACAGCAATTCCTCTTTCCTATTCCAACCAAATTTCCGCGGACCGCCCTCGTTCATAAAGGCTTTGGACCTTGATGTTGACAGTTGTTCGCCAAGCCTTCTTCCTCTTCTCTCTTCTCACTCCCATATTCCCTTTGTGCTAGACCGCCTGGAATCCTTGACAATCATAGGCCAGTCCGGCCCCATAATAGGGAGAGCAGATCGCTTTGCTGCCATTGTTTCCCTTGTCGCCATGCCGCTGGAGCTTAGCTTGATTGTTGGTCGGATCGAGATTTCAGGTTCGCACATTGATTCTTCTGGATTCCATCCACCGACTCATTGACTATAATGCAACAGACGAGACACCCTATCTTGATGTCAGCCATGTCACCGACCTCAAGTTCACCGTTTATCTGGACCCAGGGTGGAGCTACTGCTATTCCCTTCGGTGGTGGGGCCATGTCATTGACCGCCGTAGCGCCGACCTTCAGAAGGTCACTATCTGCATCCAGGGCCGGAATAGTCCCTCTCTTCCAGCAGAGGATGTTCCTTACTGGACATACTTGGATCAGGCATTGTGTGGTAAACCCAGCTTCCGGCAGCTGTGCTTCCAGGTCTCCATGAGCGGTCAGCAGTCTCAGCAGTCTTGTCAAGACCTTCAGAAAGCGCTGAGGCGTCGGCTTTCGGGAGTCATCAAACGCTACGGAGCCTTAGGTCGTATTAGTTGGCTCGACGATGGTGGGCAACCATTCTCTCCGGTTCCGTAGTGCATGCCTCCGAGTCCTTTTTCATTGTTTCATCGCTTGTGACTATTGTATAGAATGAATACATTTATTCGTTCTTGATACTGAAAACAATGAACTACGAGCTGGCTAATGCTCTAATGGTGCGTTTGGTAACCGGGCGAGATACAAGAGTGATGTGCGACGTCTGCAAGCCCGGGTCCCCACAGATAAATAAGCCCATCTCTGACCTATCCCTCGGAAGACAATATCTTTTTTCTGTCGATACGTTGGATCCTCAGGAGGAAACAATCGCTCGCCCGCTGGGACTGTTATCACGTTATACGTTCAGTTGATCTCTTGAAGAATATCATCTAACAGTAAGGCGTCAAATACAGGAGAGAGAATGAGGCTTACCCGGATTCAAATCTAGAACCTGAGCACCGACAATATGATCAGCACTTCGTTGGTAGTCACTCTCTCAGAATATTCAGGACAAGTTGAAACCCGACACGGGCGAAATGACGCTATCAAAATGGCTGAACTAGTAGACGGCGCGGCCCAAGGTTGGACGTCAATGCCGACAAACGCTGTGAGGCGCTGTTTGCAAGTCCCAGATGAAAACGGGTCACAAAAACATGTGGACTGAGTTCCCTCTAAGGAAAATGGATGCAAGAAAGAGGATGTGGAGAGATAAAGGCCGTTGAATGAACGTACCCCTGGTTAGCACAAAAAAGAAGTGAAGGGGCTACTGAAAAAACAAGCGTGCCTCAGAATGGAAACTCATTGAAAAATGTCTCGATGACATCAGGAGACAAGGAATGCCCTGGACAATCCTTTGTAGTAAGATCCATTCCGCCAGCCGCGCCTTCAGATTATCCTCCGGACCACAGACACTTGCGTGAAAGTAGTAGGGCAGTACATTGTCGTCTTCCCCGGTCTCATGATCAACACGCACCATTGGGACTATTAGTAGGCGATGATGCCTTTGGACGAAATGCATAGTACTTCATCACGATTTTAGTTTATGTGTACATGTTCGATTCATGTAGTAGGTAGGATTTACGCGAAACGAAATACTTTGGATTCAAATGTGAATTGCGCTGATCTGAGAAGTGCGTTTGGTAGGGCGAGACAGCCCCAAAGGGAGCTGTACAACGCCTGCAAGCCCGGGGCCCACGACAAGGGAGCACCAGACGGAGACAGTGCACATCTGCCTCCGTCTTATCCCCCGGGAAACACATACCTTTGAGATCGAGGTCTTGCCTCGCCATAACACTCATATTTGAACGGATGGACAGTCGGAATATATGGATGGCATGCTGCCAAAAATATGAGACGGCGAGAGAATGGTGAGATGAATAATTGCATATTCAGCTCTTTCCATTCCACGCGTCGGCGTATTTTAACAGCTTTCCGACGCCTTCGTATTATTAATGGTCCAAACTCCTTGTTGTACCTGCTTCGTCTGTTTTTGTTTGTAACGACGAGCAGGTATTCCTAGAAGAATGAACGCACATCAGTATCTGCAGCAAAGACGAGGGAGAGGGACATACATGTATTTTTGTTGCGATTATCGCTGTAAAGAAAAAGATTCATATCGTCGAAGCCGCAAAGTCGGGCGACTTACCACTGCTTTACTAGGGTGGGTGTATTGGAGACCACCTGCCATCCCGCGGTCAATACCCCACCCCGTCTTGAAGGATGCAAACGAGTCTTATGACTTTGCGCAATTCTAAGAAAATAACCATCAACAAGGGAGATGGAAATCAGGAACGAAGACGACGTACAATTTCTTTTGGCAGAAAGCGAACCAAGTCTACGAAATGTCGTTGTTAAATGGAAGCAGTGTGAAAAATATAACGACTTACTGCGGTGATTTCAATCAATGCCATTGGCCATTGGCACTGAAAGAGAGGAGAAGCCGATGCCTCAGAGAGATCCGATTACAAACTCCTCACCGGTTCGGTCGCTTGCTCGAACGGTTCTACCACGCTTGTACGTGATAACCGTTCGAGTCGGTCAACGACTTCATTGCGAAGACGGATGGGTATCGCTACCCATCTTTGCGTGCCGATCCATGGCCTAGCCATTCATCTTGAGATTGACCGTAGTCACCATTGCTTTTTTACGGTGGGTGTTGGAGACCACCTGCCATCCCGTGGTCAATACCCCACCCCGTCTTGAAGGATGCAAACGAGTCTTATGACTTTGCGCAATTCTGAGAAAATAACCATCAACAAGGGAGATGGAAATCAGGAACGAAGACGACGTACAATTTCTTTTGGCAGAAAGCGAACCGAAGCTACGAAATGTCGTTGTTAAATGGAAGTAGTCTGATAAAGATAATGACTTCACTGCGGTGATTTCAATCAATGCCATTGGCACTGAAAGAGAGGAGAAGCCGATGCCTCAGAGAGATCCGATTACAAACTCCTCACCGGTTCGGTCGCTTGCTCGAACGATGTACTCAGTACCACGTCGCCGGAAAGATGGATGCCGATCCAAGGCCACCATCAGCCCTATCGATGGTGGATGACCAGCCTGTCCAAGGAAGGGTCATCAACGCCGACGAATCACGAAAGGGAGAGGGCACAAAGGCCAAGGATAGTCGTCGAAACGACCGCACGCATCTACCACGACGCTTGACGTCGCTCACCGTTCGAGTCGGTCAACGACTTCATTGCGAAGACGGATGGGTATCGCTACTCATCTCTGCGTGCCGATCTATGGCCTAGCCATTCATGTTGAGATTGATCTTGGTCGCCTAGTCGCTCCATTCACCCAACGGTGGGGTCGCTTGACTAAAATTAGGAGCGCCATGACTCCTTAAGTAGGAGGCCGTTGACTTAGGAAAGTGTTAACAGCAGCACTGAAGAAACGGTAGGGAAAAACGTACATATATCTTGCTGGTTAATGAGAACATCGACGAATTCCTATGGGTAAAGGAGTAAACTGTTCGCTCTCACGCAACGACGACGATGACCTACCATGGAGGTACCCGGTAGCGGAGAACGATAGCCACATATGAGGATGAACATCCCACAGCTTCTGAAGAGAGGCTGAGGGCGTCGTCGTCTCAATAGTAGCGTTGAGTATGACATTTGATCGTTCGAAGCCAAGAGAGGATGGGGACAGAGAGAGCAAGCGAAACTTTTATACCTTTAGGACCTGTTGTGGCTTATTTGTCTCATGTTTCGTCCGTAAGGATCGATCAACCTGCGTCTATCACTGTTTTTCCAGTTTCCGACAAATCTTGACTCAGGACAGTCGGCCGACAAAAAGATACGGCGTACATGGTAGCCGCCGGGGTAGACAAATTGGGTGAACGGAGTTTGATCGATCGCGTCCAGGGTACACGTGATCGCATGTCGACTGGAATTGACGATAGGCCCCTATTTCGATCCTTGCCACTCACGAGTAGCATATCGTTTTGGTGCTTAAATTTTGAGACGGTTCGTTTTCGTGTGACGATTCCAGTGAATTTCTCACTTCGTTGACAATCTCACCACAAGGTCCAAGCCTACTGGCCCTTTGAGCCACTCGGGCTCTGGAAATTTTACTGGTCACTATCATCGCGGATTGCAACAGCAGCAACCGACGGGAAATTTTTCTGTGGAATCAGGAACCGCTATATTTTGTGCCTTCAGTTCTGCTTCTGAGTCCAATTTTAGCTGTGAATTCATGGAAGTTTGTCTGTCGGAGTTGAACGGTGACTGGGTATTGTAATTTCCAGAGACTGCGAAGACATCTGCATCAAACTGTATCTACACATTGCAATCTTTGAGTTGGCACGGCTCCGGCCAAGAAGTTATTGACTCAGATAATCCAAGCCAGACTCATGCTTCTCATCTGCCAAGACCCCACTGCATGCTCCACACCCCCTATTACACCGTTTCACAGAACTTTCCATTTAATTCAGAATTTTTTCCATAGTTTTTTATTTTTGTGCTCTGATTATCACCTGCGATTTTGACCCGAAGATTTTCAGCCACAATCCTGTAGATGACTATCACAGCAATGAAAACCACGTCCTTTGACAACATTACTTGGTTCAATATCTGTTTTTCTATTCACTCGCAAAACCTAAGACAGCTCTCCTCTACGAAGGACGCCAACTCGCCACAATCAACTGTGTATTGAAATTAAGAAACCATAGATAGAGACCGACGTCAACATATTTTCGAAGATTAAAGGGTATAGATGTAATAAGTTCCACCACGAAGGCAAAGTCCAACTGAGCTCATCCTATAAAACAGCTTATACATGCAGAACAGTCGCCATTCACTCATTCCGTCTCACTAATCCACCAACCGTCATCCAAATCCGTGGCTTCAAAGCTAGCTGTTGTGACTGCGCGTGCCTACACCGAGCGCCGCAGTAACGTGTCGAGAGTGGCATCTGCGGCGACGTTTAAAGATCCATCTACGAGAGCGTCAGTGTCGACTTTGGGTGCAGTTTCACGCGCCTCCACCGAGCGCCTCAGTAAAATGTCGAGAGCGGCACCAGCGGCGACATCTGCAGAAACACCGGCGGCAACATGTGAGGAACCATCTACGTCGGCTGTGGGTGCAACTACATGCGTATTCACCGAACGCCGCAGTAGCGTGTCGAGTGCGGCATCGGCGACGACGTGCAAAGATCCATCTACGAGAGCATCATGGTTGACTGTGGGTACTACGGCCCGTGCGTTTACGGATGCGTCAGGGGCGACGCCTGCAGAAACATCTACAGTATCATCAGACAAGCAAGTAGTGTAGTCAGAAGACAATATCTAACCTGCAATGGGCCGTAAGACAGCTCCGGCAGCGACAGACAGATATGCGGGCAAGAGGAGCACAACTACGGACTCTAGTAGGTCAGCTCACTTGGCTCTGAGATATGAGTAGACAATTGTTCACCCTTGAATAACATCGTAGAACCGAGCTGGATGTGTTTTTGGAGTCGGGGTCGAAGTCATTTATACTGAAAAAGGAGCGCAAAAACTAAATTGCCAACTGAGAACGTTGCTTTAGTTTGACAGTCGAAATGATAAAAAAATCAAAAGTTCAGAAGACAAACATCTTCGGTTGACTGTGTCGCCCAGATTAAAGAAGAGCATCCATAACATTCGTCAACTATTCTTCCAGGCTAAATAAAAACATGTATCAATCAGAATTCTAATGGTCCCGAGGGCGAGGAAACATGTACACACGTAGTCTTGCTCGCTGTGACCGGACACACCACAAATCAGATCTGTCTCCCATCGAAAGAACCTCAAAAATATTCATCGTATTTTATCATTCCCATCTTTAGCCTCGTGGAAAGAGTAGCAGTTCGTCCTCGAAGAAGAGCCACGTGGTCACTTGAGAAGGCAGAATAAGAAGTAGCACAAGGCAGAACTACGATGCCTTCCATGTAATCACAGAATGAATACGAGAAGCATCCAGAGTATAATTAAATCATGATATCAATCAACTGATGTCGAAGCATGAAGGAAGATACTATGCCTTATGCTCAAATCGCATTTTAAGATGAGGACCATAGAAACTTTGGTGAGCCTCATGATACACATATCAAGTGAGGTAGGCCTTTTGGGGCATCAAGGCTGCATTGAGCACTTCCATCAGCTCTGTTTGGCGGCGCCTAAGCTATAATTCAATCTTCGGCAAGTAGAAGATGCGAAAGGAATGATAATTGAGAACGGTTCTCGAAGGAAAGCACTGCATGTTACTTCATGGAACCTCGAACCATTGCTTATGACGCAGATAATCTTAGGTTAGTTCAATTCTCCTACGCACTGTGGCAAATTGAACGGAATGCGCGGCCAATCCCGGCGCGAACCGCAGGATGACCGGTCCGACATTTCTGCAGCTACGGCGACGCGTACGCTTTGTTCGATTTTCTCCCTTTTGGATAGCTACTGACCGTTCTGCATTACTAGTAGTATTTTGGGACTCCTTCGTTTCTCAAGAGCTAATGGCGGTGTTACACAACAATCACCCGCTCATGGTCTGCATGAATTTAGACTAGCTGTCCATGGCCGGATACGCGTGGTGCTTCAGAGATCCGGTGACCTCATCATCATCCTCCAGACCTTCAGAGGAGACTGAGTCCAAGACATGTCGCAGGGTGTACACTCAGGGATGTTCCAGTCCCGTCCGTTGACTGACTCCAAACGTAGTAGCCATAGAGGAATTTATCCTTGACTCTTAGATTCTCCCCCTCTGAGTCCGGTCCTAGAGCGTCTTGGATACCACTACCCTCCCGTATGTCACAGACACGTCATCAACGAGGGCTGCAATAGACTTTGGTGAAATACTACTCAACGCTGCGGCAATGAAGCATGTAATGTATCTGTTCCTGGCTGGTCATCCAGTCGCAGGGTGTTGCCGATAAACGCAAATAAAAAGGATTCGCCCCCATGCGTTCAGCGTGACACTGCTGTCCTCTCTCTCAGCTCAACGGCCCCTGAATGTGGCAACCTAGACAGTTTCTGATGTCGATCTCGGTTTCTATAAGCCATAGTCTCTGGTGCTTGTCCTTTCTCCGACTCAGGTCAGAGGTGGAGTGTGCCAGTCTTCCAAATAAATGACTCGCTGACTCTTGGCTGTTCCAGTCCACCTTTACGCCGTTATGCACGTAAAAGCCAATCCCCTATCGTAAAATGATGGTCATTGTATCCCACCACATGGTCAATGATTGTTGTACGAGTTCTTGGGTGCTATGATGAGCTTTGTCCTAGCTAGGCCAAAAGGCATTGTTCCGATCGCGGCTCACTGGGGAAACACACATGCCTCATTCTAGTTTAACGGGTCACTGCTGTGTCTATGAAATCAAAAGTACATTTTCGTTCTGGCAACTTTTATTGCGGCACCACGTTGTCTCAGTAGTCTTGCTACCCCGGAATGGCATTGTTTAATCTTTATCGGCGATCTTACCCCTCGCTCATACATATATAAACGGACATGAATCTTGGGCTCTCGCAACTTTCACTTTACCCAACTCTTCTGAGTCGCACATTCTTCATTCTTGCCAATGCATCATGCTTACTCCCTCCCCAGCATCTTGCCGATGCATCATGCTTACTCCTTCCCCGGCATCCCGCCAATGCATCATGCTTACTCCTTCCCCGGCATCCTGCCAATGCATCATGCTTTCTCCTTCCCCAGCATCCTGCCACTCCAATATATCGATACCTACAGCCGCTTTGGACCTTGCCTAGATCGCATGCCTTCGGTCAGTCAGCTGTATCGCCACAGGGCATTGAATAAGCATCATCCAGTCAATTCTATCTACATCGATGGACGTGGAAACGACCGGTACGACCCAGCCTTCTCTGCTTTACTCCATCTCCTTGCCAAGGAGTCTATCCATGCGAAAAATCCCATCAAGAGTCTGACCATCGTCGATCTTGACTGGCGGCGTCTTGTAGACCGTTCCACTTGTAATGCCGCCTTCAGGTCATTTTCAGGCATCATCTACCTCCGCGTGAAAAATATCCGGTGTCGCGTCGATGAGTTACGGTCCCTCATCCTTTCGTTCCCTAACCTCGCTATACTGGACTTGCAAGGCGTCGTCTTTGACGAACAAGAACGGCTTACTCAGCCGGATGGCGAGCAGCAGTACCCGAAACTTTCTCGACTGACTATAACTCTCGACGACAACGCCGTCTCGGTTCTGGACCTTTTCCGGACCATAGTGTCTCCTGGTCAAATATACCACCTTGAACTCAAAGGGGCGGACAAAATTCCAGGGACGGTGGAGGTCATGCATCGCATTGTTTCTCTGTCAAAAGCAGCATTAAGTCTGGGTATAGGACACATAAATATGGGTTATTTTGGTTACGTACGCATGCCTGGCCCCATCCTCCAGATCGCAGGCCTGAACAACCTCACCTTGACGATCGCCCTATCTTTTAGCTACAACTATATTTTAGCCGTCAGGTGGTGGACAGAAGTGTTCAAAGCTCTTCCTGCTGAGAATAACCTGCGGAGGTTGACGATCAGGCTGTCGGGTTCTTGGGCAGACGCTGGATTGGCCATCGAAGGGAGGTTGTACAACGACTGGAGAGCCTTGGACGGTGCTTTGTGTAACCCGAGTGTCCATTTGGACAGTTTTGTTCTTGAGACTCAGATGTCCGATCCGGAGAATACTGGTTTTAAGGTTCAGGTTTGGATGGAGAATGAGGGTCTTCGAGGGGTTTTCAAAACTTATGACGCTAAACAACGATTTGAATTCAGGAACAACTGGCCCTAAGCCGTCGCTGTCGAACTGTATATTGTCCCTTATAAACTCGTTAACTCCTGTGTATTGAAAAATATTATGTTGTTGGATATGACAATCACTGACAGTGAACGTTCATGAGTATACGGTGTAGGGGGTCAGGGTAGTGGAAATATGATGAATAAATTGTCGGTCTAATAAATGTGCTGTCTCGAGATGTAAAGGAGTGCTGCTTCTTCGTGGTTTGTTACTCGTCGGTCATCCATGGCATCGTAACCTTCTTGTCTAAGCCATCAAAGAGTGAGAATACGGTCCTGTACATACGCTGACTCTTAGGCAGACCATGCCTACACAGCCAGTACATAACCGGCTCATAATTATACCCCTCGGAAGGAAGCTCCCAGAGCGGCCTGACTCTGAAGACGAGCCGACGCAAGTTTATATCGCGGCGGCACAAAGCCTGATCAAATGCGGCCCAAACCTCCAGGTTCCATTCAGGCATAGAACCACTGGACAAAGAATCCATGTCGATTTCGAGTTCGATCGTCAGCGCCTTGAGTCGGTTAGCGGTCGGGATAGTATTAATGTTGGTCGTCCACCACTCGACAGCGGCATCTGTCTCTACGGAATTGTTGGATAAGCCTATAGTGATGCCAACGGATTTAACGTTGCCGAGGTTCAATGGGCAATGCGATTCTGTAGACGAGGCATTAACGCGAGTGTCTTTATCCAGCGAACTAATACAAAAATACCTATCTTAAAATGTCCACAAATGAAGTCATCGAGCGGGAACTCCAGGAGGCTAAAGAAAGCACGAATCCGATTCACCATCGCATCGTCGCACACGACGCTTGGCTTTCCCCCATGGATCTCAAGCTTGTCTAGTGCGCGCAAAGAGGCAGGGGAATCATAACCAGTGAACAGCTCCAGGATGGCGAACTCGCCCTGGTTAAAAGTCACAGAGAAGCGCGACAGCTCCGGTCCTTGCAACTCACTCTGAATTTCTCCGACAGATATATTGGACCTTCGTCGAGGAATGTGAACCACCTCGGCATCGTACTCCTCGACTTGGTTATCTTCGAACATGAGTTGTATGAGTGTGGGCATGGAAGATACGAGCGCCTTAATGTCGTATTTTGTGCACGCGACGTATGTCAAGCTGAGGATGCTGATATGGGGAAATGATGAAAGTGCGGAGCGGAAGGACGCGCGGCTTCTAACGTTGAACCAATTTAGGCCTGTGAGCCCCATGGAGTTTATTGGAACCTGTTCGTTCTTGAGGAACTCGAGGAGCAGAGGGAAGTGTCGGTCGTATCCTAGGGTCAATGAGTTATCATCCTTGATGTCTAGCTGTTGAACGGATTCATCGGTGGTCGGACAAGGAGCGTTTACAGGAATATTAAGAGCGTGGCAGATCGATAGAGAGCGCAAGATGTAACCATAGAGGTATTGACACGAATATTTCTGCTCCTTGCCTAATTGCAGGAAATCTTCGAGTGTCAGCCGCGCCATGAATGCGGATAGCTGGAAAGATATAAGTAAGATTTTCCGAAAATGCCTGACTTCGATGGAAACGCCTACCAGAGATCAGTGTACTATAGAGATCAGTCCAAGAGTGACGACACCTAACAATGTTAACGGAAACCTATTGTTCATTCCGTGGGTCGCCGACATACGGCCAGCCAGGGTAGCTCAAACCACCCAGAAAAGGATCGAAGTCTCGAGGTACACAACTTGTGCAGCACCTTCAATTGACCCTGCATCTAAAGGTATTCTGAAAAAATTGTTTTGACTTCAGCCCCAAGGTTCTGTGGTGATTCCAAACAAATCCTCACGATGAAACGAGAGTCGGAGCTGGAATGTTTTGTCACGAACTTTGACGTTGTCAACCGCAGTGCAGACTTACAATCATACTACACAGTGTTAGTTGCTGAAATTATCGTCCTATAATTAGGACTTTGCGTCTTTTTGGTGGACCAGACAATAGACAGGCAAATTTGAAAACTTACCCTTTGTTCGGGTTAGGGTTCGGTGTCCGACGGTGATGATCGGTCTTGCTCGGCAACGATCACGTGTTGAACGAGCTTGTTCGGCGGTTCGGCGAAGTCCGCACCAGGGTTCGATGAGCACCTAGCCCTGGTCATTCAACCGGCTCTTGTTCAGATGCTCCTGGGAGAAAACTTTTCTTCGAAATGACTCAAAAATTGAGCAAAAAGCCTCTCTTCATTCTTACCGGAGTTCGACAAGATGACGTCACGTATCACGGGCCAGTCTAAAACTGAACAAATTTACCCCGCTTACTGTCTGAGTCTCTCTTGCCTTCCACCATCATGAACATCTGCCAGCCGAAAACTAACCGTGACTACATCCCTATCTCAGACCATGGCCTGTAGGAGTTTCAGCTTCAGCTTGGCTTTGGTCTTTACAATACGTTGAACTCAGGATCGGAAACTTGCATACTGCGGCGCTAATTAGCACTGACGGCTCAGGTATACCCTAAGGACACTTTTTGAGGGTACTCCTAACGAGTGCTACGTAGTTGAGAGCTATTGCGTGCCAAACTTTGATTCCCCTTCTGTCTTTGCGCGGATTCTCGACAAGGATAAAGGGGGTCATTTCTCGATCACGCCGAAGGTTCCGTTTACCACTAAGCAGAATTACCTTCCAAGTTCGAATGTAATAAATGGTGTCCGTCATTTCGTCCTTTGCCTGCTGATTATATTCCGACCAGGTCCTTCAAACCAAGTTCATGAATGAGCAAGGCGTCATTTCCGTCACTGGTTCTATCGTCATATCTGACACATATTTACTATTGACATGCTTTCTAGATTTTCTTCCTCGCCAGAAGGCATCTGAAAGTCTCCCGACGACTGCAACTCAGCCTTTACTTCACTGGCTTATCAGACGTGTCGAGGTGTGGATGATCTCGGTATCCTTCGGGCCGAATTTTTGAAGAAAGGTTTAGGTAGTCAGAGGAGCGATCCCTTTGTGTATGCAATGTGCCCCGGCCTTTGACTATGCTCGTGTGGAACATACCACTGCTATTCATGAGGATACCTCTAGTGCCGTCCCTCAGAAGAAGGCCACATTTGAGTCGAAGGATTGCGCTTTAGACTTGAGGTATGTAGTAGATAGTACCATGGTATGTATCCACAGCTTTGTCCCCAATATTAGGCTTACCTGTACGTAGGATAATGTCGCCTGCCCATCGGTCGAACTTCACCTTCTTGATTTGTCGGACAAGGGGCATAAAGGTCTTGGAGTATGCGCAGACTTATCGCTAGTTGAGGGCCAATGCGTATGGTTCATTCTTCGCATCCCACCAGCCAAAGCCGCTTCTGGATACGAGGTTCTTGAGATAAACGGTCTGCCTGCTGCAGCAGTAAGCGATCCTCTCTTGACCAAAGTAAGACCATAAATACACACTGGAGGGGGTTTCTAACATAAATTTCTTTTTCAGGAGCTCATGGATGGCTTGTTCCATGTGAGTCGTATACATGGTGTTGAGCTTTGGCTAACAAACTACTCCAGACCACAATCAAATACTGGGTTGATTGGATTCGGCATTCATCCTACAATGGCTCGTGGAAAGAAGCCGTACATAGAAGCGCTTTAGCATTGAAGCTTCTCATTTTTGAGCCAACAGGTATTTTATTCCCGCCTCGCTTTCGTTGTTTCATCAATAGGTCTATTCCATAGGTGCCGTTGTAGCTAGCCCTACTTTCAGTCTTCCAGAATACATCGGAGGCACCAGGAACTGGTAAGTGGTTAGTCAGATATAGGGCTGTGCTCTCATCTGATTGGGCTGTAGGGATTACCGGTATGCTTTCTCTTCGTTCCACAGACCGGCTGCCACATGCCCATAATATAGTGCATCATGGATTCGGGACTCTTCATTTACCCTGTATGCACTCATCCGGCTAGGATTCACTCATGAAGCAAATGGTACGACGTTACTCTGTGTCCTGAAATCAAACTCACCGAAGCTGACTACGCAATCAGCTTACCTGGAATTCATTTTCGAACGTCTGCGCCACAAAAACCCCGATGGCAGCTTGCAGATAATGTACACGATCCATGGTCAGTCAGATGGGGATGCGATTGTGATGTCACCACTGACGTACATAAAGGGGGGAAGGATTTAGAAGAGATCGAGCTTAATCATCTCGATGGGCACAAGGGTTCAAAGCCAGTACGAATTGGCAATGGTGCTGCAGATCATCTGCAATTGGTAAGATGGTTGACTTTATCTATCATCAGGTCCTTTGACCGAATTTTTAGGACATCTACGGCGAACTGTGAGTTTGTCTTATCATCGAGAATCAGACCCTAGTTAATTATAAGGGGATCAGGATGGATTGTATCTACCTTGGTCAGAAGGTATTTGAGTTTTTTAATCGATACTGTCGTTCTCTTATCTGCTTTCATGAAGTTTGGTCGACCTTTGGTGCGTGGTTGATCAGTCCGATGATTCGTCGGCTTGACGAGAACTCTTTCAGAGTTACGACGACTGGTGAGTAACATTTTGCACTTACTGGGGGACAAATTGTCCTTATTGCGTTGGTCTTAGGGTCCTCGTTCGTGAACTGTACGCCTACTATTCCTTTCATAACAACAGTGACCCTCACTCGCCCGCTACAGCGTCGATTGTAAGGCCAACGATTGGGCAGTTTTCTCTCCTCCGAGTCTAATCTTTTAACAGACGTTGTCGAAAACTTGAAGAACCCTGATTTGTCTGAGCCTTTATGTTACGGCGTAGGGATTAGTACTTACGTTCCTGCTCTCTAGGTCCATCTGGTTCGCCCCATCCTACGAAGTTTGTCCTTCTAATATTTCCCGATCATTTAGGGAAGTAAGAAACAAGAAGCGTCATTTCACAGTGGGTGTCCTTATAACGTTACGCTCATTTCTGAAACTTAAGTCTCTGTTATGACAGTATTCCAAGGTATGTTGCGTTCCTCGTCGTCAGTGGACCGGTAAGCGCTTACGCTGCTAATTTCAGATAATGCTGTGGTGAGTTTCAGCGATGCGCCGACCAAGTACCGAATGATTCTTTCCATTTCACGAATACTCATCTAGGGTGGCCATCGATCGAGGTAAGTCTCGCCCTCCCCCCTCTTTCATCTACCGTGCTACCGGGGACAATGAAACCATGTAGCCGTGGAGGCGGTCTAGTTTCTCGGTTCGGTACAGAAGGAGAACTTACTAATATATCGTCGTTAGGCCTGCGGCTAGCAGATAAGCGTTCGCTTCCCTGTCCTAGGCGTTACAAGTGGCTAGAGGCCCGTGACCTTTTATACGAAGAAATCATGCAAAAAGCTTGGAATGTGGAGAGGCAGCACTTTGGGCAAAGCTATGAGGAGACTCACGTCTTGGACTCTGCGTTGCTCATTATGCCACTTGTGTTCTTCATGCAAGGGGTGAGTATGCTCGGAGATCAGGTACACTAAGCGCTAAGGAAGCGCGCTATACAGTCCGACCCTCGATTTGTCAGTACGTTGAAACAGATATTGAAAACACCAGAGAGGGGTGGATTGACATCAAATGTAAGTCCGTAACGTTGGTGCGGACGGGCCGCGTGGGTCTGATCCGTCTTCCCTTAGAATCTTATCTTTCGTTATGATGTACACAAATCTGATGATGGTGTCGGTGGAGAGGAAGGGACTTTTTGTTTGTGTACGCTCTGGTATGCTTTCTAGCAGAAATATGGGAGATAGGGCTGATGGCGTGTACAGGGGTGTCGAAGCTCTAACCCGTGCTGGGCAATACGACCGGGCTATGCTTCCCAAAGCTGTTACGATGTTCGAGGTACGTTCGGCTTTTTTTGCTGAATATTCCATGAAACCCGAATTTTTGGTCAGGACTTCCTTCAATATCTTAACCATGTTGGTTTATGCACCGAGGAGGTATCCGAGGCAGGGGAAGGGTGGGTCTTTAGCGCTGCAATGTGATGAAAATTATAGTCTAACTTTTCCAGACTGGGGAATGCTGTACAAGGATTTACGTGAGCTTGGGTTTCGTGACATGTATCGCAGTAGCACTAACTGCTTTTGACTGGTAGCCATGTTACTCTGATATCCGCAGCGTATAATCTCTCTAGGACGCTATCGAAGACTAAGCCTCTGTGAATTTGGTGCAATACAGTTTATGATTATAAAAATTAAAAAGTTATTTACTCTATATACAGCAAACTCGGAATAGGTTGTAAGTAAAGTAAGTCTAAGAATCTACGATTATGTACGCGATGTATCATGTATAGGAAACGGAGCGAAGCAATGAAAAGAGACCCATTAGTCGATGTTGCGTTCAGACTGCAACAATACTGTTGCTACTATGCAAATCTCAAGCAAACCAATTTGGATAGCTTGGCCTGTTATGTCGAGAGTCACGGTCCTGTCTCCTCGCAAGATTTTCGCAATTGGCGAAGGGGGCGTGGAGCCGTAAGTCGCCGTGAAGAGCTGCGTCGGAGAGTTAGCTTCGCTACAAGGGTCCATTGAGATGATAGCCACTCACACAGATGGTATTTTCGTATGGCACCCATGAATACCATTTGCCTCGGGCGAACATTGCGCGCTGACTGAGGAATTTATTAGCAATTTGATGGCCGACTGTGTCGGCCACGGCTTACGTTTTGTCTGAGCTCAACGGCAGCCAGGATGCGACGGTCTGTTTGTCCAGAAGCTCCCGTATCTCTACGACAGGGTGGCTTTTCCATTCTATGATCGTGAAGTTGTGTCCTTCGTGATTTTGAATGACGGTTTTGCCTTGAGAAGGCGAGTCATTGACGACACGAAAGTACGGTCGGTCATTAGGTCCAGTGATCGTACTGTTGAGAATCGAATGTCTATAGGAAAAGGTAAAGCTGTAGGCGGATTGTTGAGTGGGAGGCGGGGGGAACGGAAGGGCCCCGTAGATCGAGGCCTGAGGTGGGTTGGCGGGCGACCAAGCAGTATTATTGATAGAGTCTGCATTGTCAGGATTGAACCATCCTGCTTGGGCGTAGGGATTGTTGGTGTGCATGGCGAGAGAGATAGTCAATAGAAATGAGAGAAAGACTGCGCTGGTTGGAGCTGGAGCTGCTTGTTGAGTTTGTTGTCGCTACTGACCTTTGAATTTATAGGTGTACTCTTTGTCTTGCAGAGATCCGTATATGTTTCACTGATGGATGTACGGGCGGGCTGCAAGGTTGCTCAGAGGCCCAAAAGGCATTGAAACAGCGGGAATTTGAAGTTGTTAACAACTTGTTCATAGCTACAAGGCGAGGAGCCGCAGACATAGATTCTCCAAAAATATAGGACCGTCGGGGTGGCGTTTCAGGAGCAAGGGCAGATTACCAAAAATATCGAGCCCTCGGAGTGACGTTTCGAGCGCAAGGGCGATCCCATCATTGCATTGTATCATTCGCTGGTATAGAAGATCAAAGATTTGCGCTTGAGGCACATGTCCATGTTCAGGAGGAGGCCCATGTGGCAGCCACGCCACCCAGAATACAGAATTTATTCCCTGATTATCCCGCGCGGGAGAAGAAAGTCCGGTTTTCTGGTGAAAGCTTTCGAATTCGGATATTTAGTACCATAGCCCACGACCCCGAGGACCAATCCGGCCAAGCTGCGTGACCACACAGCCCAGAAGAGACTCTTAGGTAGAAACCGTATAAACTGAGGCAGATTTCCAAGTACGCGAGCGGCATGCCGCTTACTCAGGTCATAACTAAAAATCCGGCCTTCGAGGACTCATCACATCAATTGTAACCAAGAAGAAAAGATCAACGTATCACCAAGACCGACTAGGGGAAACCCCCCCTTCAAACGTCCGATTCAAGATAGATCGGCAAATGTCCGTTGCTCAACAATGAAACCCAGACCAAAGTTTGCATGAAAGAGTCAGATTGTATAACTCGAAATCTTCTTGTAAATTTTCTCGTCAAAGAGACAACGACCCTGGTGAGAACTCGCACATGATACGTTTGAAACTGATTACGAAAACCCCCTTTTTTTTGGTAAAGTATGGAGCTTGTTAGACAACGCTACGCAACCAATGTCTTTACCGCAGAAAGCAGAGCCTGAGGGAAAGGGGCGGTATTCTGACTCTGAACGCCGGTCGTGCCGCGTGCTGATGGGATCAAAATCGGATGCTTTTTCTCAGTGGCTCTTTCCTTCCTTAACTTCTTCCTTCCTTGACTCTTTCCTTCCTTCCTTCCTTCCCTCCCTCCTTCCTCTGCCGTATACGCCTTCGTCTTTGAACGCAACCAGAACGTCTCGTATTGCCACTATAAGAGATGGAGAGTCTATATGATCCCACGTCTGAGCTAGTCAAAGCAACCGTGCGTCGTCTCTCCCCTTTTCTCGAGGAATGAATTATTCATTCATTTGGAATCTAGAATAACCTGCACATTATGGACCCGGACACAGTAGACGATTTCAGAAATAGAAATGTAAGTATATTGCGCGCGCGCGTAACGGTTCCCCGTTTTTGACGGACCCCTCTGCTCATCCAGGGTCCAAATTTATTACCCTTTTCCCTGCCGAGCTTTAGTGCGCCTTCTCCAGGTTGGGTAGCGCCACCAGCTCCTACCGATGTGTATAATGGGCACATTTTGAAGGATTTCAATCATCAGGACTCCACCGCTGTAAACATTCACCAATTCTGCTCTCGTTGGCCACCCCATCGGACGCCCATGACGTACTGTAACTGGATCTCAGTCAATCGTGATACCGTATCGAAGGCCACTCAGGACGACCGGATTAAAGCGCTCAAGTCGGATTTCCAAGCTTTGCTGGAACATGGAAATAACTTCGTTACGGTTGACTCCCTTGATCAAATCGCATGCCAAAACCACGTCGTATCCGGGAAGTGGCTGTTATTTTCTGATTCGACAGCGTTGGGCGAACTTTGGGAGAACGTTGTCCGGTTGGTGTGTTTAACCCGCAGGAAGGGGTGCGTCAAGGTATCCCCTAACAAGGGCTACGACCGCTATGTCATCTGCGTCTACGTCGATGACTATACGGACCTGGACGACGTAAACGATTTACGTGACAGCCTGCGGAAGATTGGCGTCACATGGCCGATTGGTTTCAAGATGGATGCTTACACCCACCTTGGCATATACGGAGGTAATCCTTGGCAAATGCGGCCGAATCGCTACTGGGAATGATGATTACATGTTGCTGTGTTACTTCTTTTCTTGATGATTTTCAAACGAACTCTGATTGTTGTACCATTTCACTTTGGCGATTGCAGTATCCTTGATGTATTTCTAAGTATATACGTACGAAATACTCTCAGTTAAAGTTGACAGATATCAGTGCCTAATTTACATACACTACTTGCGAAATCAGCTCGACATTCAAGATACCCTTAGCACCCAAGGAAGACATACTCCTACGAACGTTTTCGCAGCTGAACAACCCCCTTCTCAAATCATTTTCCGCCGAGAGACAGCGCAGCCTAACATCCAATTTTACCAGCGAAAAGAACTGCGGTGAGCTCAAGAGATCGTCGAGGCTGCTCCAATTCAGCGGGGCCTCATGATATCGATTTAATGTCAAGTCAATGCAAATCTCGGCTACGCACGGTGATCCTACTGTTGCCAGAACGGGTCTGATCCACTTTTCAGGCGTGCTGATGAGGAACCCCGAGCGAATGTGTATGTGGGTCAAATGCTGGTGACCACGCAGGTTGACGTGGATAGGTCGGGAGTTGTCTATCCGATATAGTTCCCAGTAAGCGACAAGTATAGGAAAAAATTCTCTGACAATCATTACCGTGATGTTCCAACTCAATATGCTCCAGCGATCCCGTGGTCTCAGCCAAGATCTCATCCAAAACGACGGCATCTGATGCCGACAAATCCGATGACTTCAAGGTGAGTAATTTTGACAACGACACGTCAGATTGTCTTGCCAATAACCATTTGGGCAGTGAGCGCAGCATAGATGGTATCGAGCCGTCGATTTCCAGCGTCTGCAGATAAAACGTGTCACTAGTATGTTCGGGAAACCGGCTTTCTTTGTCCTCAAAGATACTACAGCGGGCTATTTTAAGGTGTTGCAGACTTGCGCATTGCCCCAGGAGAATGTCAATGGCAACGATGGACAAAGAGCACGTTGACACTGCTACGGCGCATACCATCGGGTGGGCACGCAGGACCTCCCTGATGCACCAGACCGCTTCCGATGCTTGTGGAAGTATCAGGCCACATAACTCAACTTTTGCGATGCTCGTCAGCAAAGCCGAAAAGGGTGGAAGCAACTCCGACATGGGTAGCGTTCCATGAGAGTCGCCCGAAATTTTCAGCGTACGAATGTAGGAAATCAGATGAGGTGAAGAGGATAAGTGGTCGTATAAGGATTTCAGCGACTCGGAACGGTATAGGCAGTCGAAATAGATCTTTTCATGTAGATAACGGCGACATGCGGCAAGCAGTGAACGTGTGACCAGGCTGCAATGCTTGAGTGTCTGACGATCGTTGCGCAGATGATAGACCACAAGGTCGACTAGTTCCTGTGGAAGGCAATTCACAGAAAGCGTCGCGGGGTTATAGAGGTCTGGTGCCTACGCGGAAGAAGAAAGATTCAGAACAACAACATCGCGATAGAAGAAGAATCGGAGCCAATCGTACGGACCATTTGTCACGAGATGAAATGGTGCGGTACCCCCTACTTTTAAAGTTGGGTGGAACGGATTCGTAAAATAGGTGGGCAGTGTTAACTTGTAGGGAAGAAGGATCGATAACGTATGACGGTAAGTTCCAAGGTTCGGCACGGCCCGTTACGTTACCGGGCCTCTGTACTCATCAGTAATTAGCAACGGCGAGGACGCTGTTATGCTGTCGCGGAGCCAATGGCCAGATAGCAAAAGTTAACATTCATGAAACATAAGGAAGTCGACCCCAAAGGTTATGTGAAAGGACCCCCGCTGAGTATAAACATAGAACTCAAAAACGATGGTCTCGAGCCCCGGCGCTAGATCTGGAGACTTTCAGAAGAAAGGCAAGTTGAGTTCCAGCAGAAGTTCCGGAAGGCGAGAGAGTAGGCAGCATATTGACGTGTCAAGCAGCAGCGCGCGAGCTGAACCCCCACATTGGAGGATCCCAATAAGCGACCGTCAGTAGGAAAACCGAACGACTTCGGAAAGGCTACTATCTGGCTGCAAGTGCACATTCGCGCAATGGCCGAAGCACAAGAGACACAAAAGAAAATCGCTAGAAATCGATGGATCTGCAAGACATTATTACCGGTACGCGCGCTTCAATCGAGCAAACGAAATATCTGATACAGAAGGGCATCTTTGGAGGCGTTTCGCCATTGATAGTTTGTGTTAGCAAAATTCGTTGCAGCCCCCCTCCCCCTCCCAAAAAAAAAACCTGGTCAATGATAAATCAGTCGGTATTTGGCTGATAGTCCCACGGTTCATACAACATACATTCGGCCACGTAAGTACTAGGCGTGCAGCTGACGGCTGCTACATATGATCCATCGGATTGTACTAGATAGTACATTGAAAAGCCGTATCAGGTGGCGGTCGCGTCAAGCTCACAAAAAGGGCCGCGTAACTCCGCCCGAATCCAAAGATGAGAAGGCTAAGAGAAGGCTTGGATATTTCGCAATAATCGCGCTTTCATGGAACAGTGGTGAGTAAGAACGGAACGTGGACCTAATCGAGCAGTTGCTACGGTGGCTGTGTATGCATCAAAAAAGGAGGGCAGGAAGGAGGGAGTTACTTGCACTATAACGCGATAACGCCGCAGTCAGATCTGAGCACCAGTGAGGAGATGGAGCGATAGTTTAAGCGGACGATCATCGAAGATTCGGACAGCCTCACAGTCGCGGTGAAGATAAATCGACATCGATGTATAAACCCAAATTTTTTTAAAGAAAAGTCCCCTTGATACGTAGAGAAAAAATATACAAGTGGTAAGTTGTAGTAGTCCGGCAGTTTAAAAATACAGAAAAAAAATCCAAGAATAGGTCCCTGTCCTCCTGTTAGCTGATGTCAGAAAGGGGACTTGCTATGACAGGCAGGAACTGACGGTAAAAAAATATTTTACGACGAGCATCGCAGAGCGCGACGATCAGGACGTAAACCGTCGACCGATGACTGGCTTGCGCCATATTGCTTCCCACTCCCTAAGCGCTTGGACGAAGCCTGGATTTGGTTTCACACACGCTCGTTCGTGTCTCACGAAGGCGAACGCACTGTCGTAGGACATGCCGTGATTTCGGATAAGATAGGCTATCACAATCGAAGCGCTCCGGGAAACACCCTACACGACAATATCAATGTCAATGAAGGGTTCAAATGAAAAAAAGAAGACGAAGAAATGATTGGCTTTGGCTTCGCTCAGGATAAAGGAACCCACCTGCTGACAATGAACCAATACACTCTTCCCCGAACGCAAACACTGATCTATGTGACTGCACGCTGCCTCTAGGTGGCTCTTCAGGTCCGCCGACACGGTGTCAAGGATAGGAATACGGTAGCAATGGAAGCCGTCTTTTTCTGAGAGAGGCAACCAAGGTGCGTCGAGGACCTGTACGAGATGTGTGATTTCTTTCTCTAGCAAAGCGTCTTTTTCGTATATGGCGGCTAGAGAGCCGAGGAACAGAGCTCCGGATGATTTTGTCGGGTTCGATGGCATCGGAGAAGGAGGGAGTATCTGGTGCATGGGCGTACACATCGCCTGTTGCACAGCGAGTGGCACCGAATCAAAGCGAATCATGACGGAGGACGCAGGGGTAGAGTAAGGGGAAGCACCGGCACTGAAATACGACAGCTAGGCGTATTTATCAATTCCGGGTAATGAAGGTCTAGGACATCAACCTAGTCAGGTCTTATATCCCTTTCATACAGCAAGATGGGCGCACCGTGATCGACATCGAATATAACCGGTTCCAAGGATATTCTAAGCCCTCCAAATCACCGGAATACAAGGATGGAATATATTACACGCACGCTGTGGAAGAACCGTTGGGTGCGGCACATGAATGTAAAAGGAGAATCGACTGACGTACTGGGCTGGATTCCCATCATGCATCACTTTTTTCTCTCCTTTCCCCACAATGGGTTCCTGTAATTTGATTTCAGGGCCTAGGCCCGGACCCTTATCCATCAGCTTCGAAATTCCACGACGATTTTGCCTTCAGCCTTTGAAAAATCGCCATTGGCTTGTTCGATGCCGGATCATAATCCTTAATTTCTGTTCAATTGAAGGGGGGGATTCGGCGCGTGACGCTCTCTAGAAGCCTCCATCAAGCCCGCTGTTCGGTTCAAGACAACCCTGATATGTCTTGCAGATGTTTGAAAGTACGATGCGTGCGTATCTGCCTATTTTAAGGTACTGGTACCGTACCGCTCTGACCGTTCCTTGCGATTTACACTGCTCAGGTAATTTATGTGCCGAGGATGTCAACGTTAACCGCAGTGGTTCCAGAGTTGGACCCCAAAGCTAAACCTATGCAGCATGTCTCCATCGTGCATGTTCTCGTCTTACCCTGATGACCTCAAAGGTAACGTTTTCCTCGTCTGCGGCGTGGCCAAAAAAGAAGCTTGACAGGAGTCTATTCATGCAACAACCCTTGTTCTGCATCCGGTGTGTGTTTTGTTACTACTGGGAGGTCTAGATTTTCTGTCGGAGTTCTGATTGGTGGAGCCATTGTACGCGTACCCATTTGGATTTGGTACAACGTTATGTTATTGCCATCGGGTGATTGGTGGCTTTTGAGTTGACACGAATTTAGATTGCCGCGGGTGAGGAGCCCTTGATTACCATTGAGATCTCCTGCCCTCATGTCTTTTTTCTTCGCTTTCGACACGCGTTGGTTGGCGGTTGGCGTCGAAATGGACTAGATCTTGCATTTGCCGTTTCCACCCGCGGTCTCGAGCCCCCCCCCCCCCTCTACATTCGGTTCATCATCCAAGGTACCGTGAACTCCACATGCAAGTGCAAATATTCATTAGTGCTAAGCGCCCTTCCTTGTTCTGTATTCGGCGTTTATATTCAGTGCCGGAATTCGGAATACGGGCAATGTGATATCTCACGCGCCAAGGAGGACGTATCTCATGGATTTTGTGGTAGATCTTGTTTTCTAGAATTGTTTCCTACAGGGCGGGCTCGTATAATGGGTCATCTGGCGGCAAGTTTTTTTTTTCTCACCCTTGGGGTCTGGGTACATCGAAGTTCCCCCCCTCAATTTTCCGTGTTTCAGGTTGTGGTACCGTTCAGCGGAGAACATGTCATATCACTAGTGCACGTATTTAAAGTCGTGGGCCCGCGTCGCGTGAAGACGGGGAGATTTAGTTAGTAATGTAAGAATTGAAATTCGAAATACAACATGATAAGTCACGTGCTTTACACATGATTCATCAGCAACTCCGGCCCTGTTATCCGCTCAATCCTCGACTACCACCTTTCCGACGCGTCAACGGTAATACTGTGATGGTTAGAGTATCGTCCGGGGCCTGTGGTCCTCAAAATTGGAAGCTCTCGACGCGTCTTTTTGTTTCCATGTCAGCCGGGGCGACTCGCTGCATGCAACAGAAGATTATGTCGCGTGCTAGACGCTTGTTTGGTACGTTATCTACGAATTTGGTGATGAATCATCAGTCATAGATTCTGTGACTAATCCATGCATTTCTTGCATGGATCCGTGCGGCCTATGTGGGACATGCGCCGTCGAAGATGGAGGCTGCGCATCTGCTTGGCAGTCCAGATGATGGAAGTTTTCCAGGCGCCCAGGACTCTATGTGCAAGAACCTTATCTTGCAATTGAGGTTCTCCGACATTTTGGCTGGGTCAGTTGCTTGTTTTCTCTCCCAGAAATCCTGAAATTCATTGTCTGTAGGTCTCCTGACGTCCTAAAAACCTTGTTCCCGCGATATTCTCGGCTGGGATTTTATCTGCTTGTTCCCTGGATGGTTGGTTCAAAGTCACGCGGGACCGATAGGTAGAGCTTGCCGTTATGCGCGGCGTTAACCAGCGTTAATTTTTTCTTTGCACAGTGAAAAATGCCTTGACGCATAACCGGATCTACATCTACCTCTGTCGGGACCGTCTTTCCGAGGGATATACGCGACTGGATCGAACAAACCAAGACTTAGCGTGAGCCCGCTTGTTCTAGCCTCCCCGTAGTAATTTCTGAAATACATCAATAATTTCCTCCTTACCCAAACCCCGTCTCTGCAGGAGTAAACAAGCATCTTCTCGAGATGAATGTAATCAAAATCGAGAAGTGCACGAACGCAACACGAGCCTCCTCGTCTGCTTTTTCTAATTGGTGGGAGACGTTAAGTTCGTTACTCAGCCCAATTTGATCTTTTTCGCAGTATTCCCCTAAAAAGCATGTCCCAATGTTAAATCCAAACCTGCCGGATACCTTCGACGTCGAGTCTTTAGGCGGTAACAATGCCCAGCGACTTTGCACTCCCCCTTATCAGTCGGATTTACCGGACTGTACATCGTGCGTCATGTGACGAGGTGATGGAATATCTTCAGGGTAGGTATGATTGAAGTAAGCAGCTACTTGAACTAAAAAATCACATCCAATTTTTAGAACTGTCTTCCTTGGAATCGAGAACGCCAGGCGGTCCATCAGCCAAAAAGGCCGTCTTTAGCCGCGATAAGATAAGATTGACCGTTGTATGTGCACCATGACGTCAGCTTTGTTTGGGATCCGAAACCCCAACCAGTTTCATCAACCCGTTTCCATTTCTCCTTAGCTGAAATCATGGACGATTCTGTCAATGGACCAATACAAGAAACGTCGATGACTACCACCAATACGCTCCATGATGAGTATTCGCGCGAAAAGGATGCCGAACTCATCAAGAAAACCCTCAAGTTGGATGAAGAGGGCACGAAGGACTTTTTTAAGCCAGCAGTGTTGTCTCAGTGTGTCGGGATTTTGTCTTCTGTATGTAGTGCTGACGTTCCAAATGCCTAGGCGATGGTGGTTTGCCTCGGTTGGAGTTCCAATGATCGCTGGGACCTTTGGGCCTGTAGCCAACCTGATGAGTATTTGTGCACTGGTTCAGCCTTGGCGGGTTATGATCCCTCCCAGTGAAACAGAAGGAAACGGAGTCCCTATTTCTGATCCAGCTTGGTACGCCCTTGTTCTTACAGTTCTAAATATCTCATTCATCTCCACCACAGGTTACTCGTACTCAACTCTGTCTCACTCGGATGTTCGCTCGCTGCGAACCTCTTCCTCTCATTCAATTTTGCCCGGAAGGTGCGGTATGCAATTGCGCAACCGCTGACAATCATTCTATGGCATGTCATCGCTCGCTCTGTCTCAAAACATAATAGGAGTTGACGCATCCGTCTGACAGGTACCTCTCAGCAGTCTTTCTCCTAGTTCCACTATCCCTCACGAAAATACTGACCATCAAACCGACCTACAACCATGCATTCTCTCAACCGTATTACTACGCTCTTATCGCCACGGTTTTGTATATCCTTATATCTTCCCTCCTGGTTGTCAACGTCATCGGGGCATACAAATTTCGCTTCTATGCTCCTTCATTCGCCACCCTAACGATGCCACAGCGTACTCTTATGCTGCAGGCCATTGGTTTCTCCTTCTATCTTGCCATGGGTGCAGGGCTTTTCTCTGCCATCGAGGACTGGGAGTTTGTGAACGGACTCTATTGGGCGGATTATACCCTCCTGACTATCGGTATAGGCTCCGACTACCCGTTAACGACGCAGCTGGGTCGCGGGCTCATGATCCCATATGCGGTAGGTGGGATCATGATGGTCGGTTTAATCGTGGGCCGTGTCCAAGATCTAATGTTGGAGAGAGGGCGAGCGAAGATAGAGCGAAAGGCTCTGAAATCTCAAAGGCGGAGGTGGTTCAAGAAGTCAAACAAGAAGCAAGAGGAGGAAGACTTCAAGACAATGAGAAAAATCGAGCGACGGGCGGATATGATGCGGAAGTATCTCGCCCTAGCGGCATCATCGGTTGCCTTCTTTTTCCTGTGGCTCATGGGAGCGTTAGTGTTTCGGTTTACGGAGGTTAGACTCGTTCACGTTCCTTTGCTTTGTCGGTCGTTTGGCTGACACCTCACGGTTCGTTCTAGGCGCCACAGCATTGGACCTACTTCGATGCGATGTACTTTTCCTACACCACCCTTCTCACGGTCGGCTATGGGGACCTCTACCCGAAATCTAATTCTGGGAAGCCTTTTTTTGTCATATGGACCCTGATCGCTGTTCCCACGATGACGATCCTCATTTCGAACCTTAGCGATACCATTGTGGGGTGGCTGGAGATGGGAACGATATGGCTGGGCCACTATACTATCCTCCCCGACCGCAAGACCATGAAAGAGATGAATGAGAGCAGTGACTCCGTTGATGCCCGGGAGCTGAAATTAGACGTGGAGATGCTCGGAAATATCATTGCGCAGGAGGAAGAGAAACGCGGCATGCACCGTGGGACTACGCTTGCGAAGGCCATAAAGAGAGTTGTTAGGGACACAGGGAGGAAGACGCCGAAGAAGTATTCCTGGGAAGACTGGCAGTTCTTCTTGGCTCTTTTGGAGATGCCGCAGTCGGAGAGAGAGAGTTTCTGGCTCGCTGACGAAGGGCCGCTGTTCAGTGATGTGTCCGAGTCGACTTGGTTGTTATGGAAGCTGTGCGGGAAGCTGGAGAATGTGATGGATCAGGAGTTCAGGGATTTGGAGAACGGCGTGCAGGCGGATAAGGAGGAGTGATATGGTGGACTACATCCCCCCCCCCCCCGGCCGGACTTATTTGTGCGAACTTTTTTTGGTATCGTGGAACACTTTCAAAGGACTACTACTTGCCAATTGTACCCGAAGAAGAAGAGATGGCCGCGGAATCAACGTGGGAGGCCGAAGCTTGAATGGAAACATACGGGCGCCTGGGATGCCAAGGTCGTCTTAACGGTACCTTTCCCCTCGTTCGCCTGTGGCACCGTCTAAATCTGTCGCAGAAAAAAACAGGATCCACCGTGACAAACATGTCTTCGTTCGTGATTGGTGTCTCGAGTCACTTCACATGGGGTTGAACATTTATTTGGACGAGAGATGTGGGGATCTTCTTCGATCGTTTCTTGCTTGTATATCTCTGGTGCTTAATTGTGTCGCTGTGTGGGATTCCATCTGATTTTGCTGTAAAATTTATGTTGGCTAACACCGGATCGCAGCAGTACACTATTTCACGTTCAATGATTCTCTTGCAGTGCGCGTTAGGTCGGATGAACTGGGTGAAATCCTTCCACATGTCATCAATGTCTCGCGTAGATCATCAGCTCGAATGCCTGACTGACCGATGAATACAAAAAGGGCTTCTATTCTGAACAAAGGACTTCCGGATTTCACGGCCCGAGGTGCGTAGTCAGATCCAGAAAGGCTCGCTACCGCAAAGAGACGGATAAATCTGCTTTTGGAGAAAAGTGGCAGGTGGTAAGGGAAAGCGAGGATGCCTGTCGAGGTCGGTGGTACCTCGACCTTACCGTTTCTCTCCTTCTCTAGTCCTACGGTCTTCTCTTATCCTTGGGGCTACGTGTCTGTCAGGGTGTCCGATTCAGGTGCCATGCTGTACCAGCCACGTGAATTCGATTCGATTATCTTGTTTGCATATTTACTTTGCCTACAGGCAAATTTCATACAGCGAGTGGCTCAATGGGTTCCTGTAGATTGGTAATTGCTTCTTTCACACGTGCGAATCGCCATTGTTCTTACCTGAGGCGCAGTGTATATATAAACACGAAGGCCCGAAAGGTTCCCCCCCCTTTACTTTTCTCTCACTCCCATAGCCTCTCTGAAGGTATGTTATATGTATGTTCCTTGTTTCGCGTCAGATTTCATCTAAGTTGACTTTTGCTGTAGGACGCCGACAGCCTCCTTAAGGTCTTAAAAGCCAACACCCTAAATGTCGGTCAGCTTCAAAGGCATTCTTTTCTCGACCTGTACGACTTTGCTATAACGCCTCCCAACGTACTGTCCGGTGTGGCATTTGACACTCTCTGTTTCGTCGATCCACCCCGCACAATTTTCTCTGACCCGTATTTCGAGCGCTTCCTTGACTTGGTGAGTGGTCGCGTCATGAAAGCTGTTCACTTCACTTCGGACTCTTTGCATTCTCACACCGGAAAGATATGGAGTGTAAGGCTGACGTTCCGCAATGTCACGTATCTGCAACTCTTACGGGTAGAGTGCACTGAAACTCAGTATTGCGGTCTAATCCAGTCGCTTCCCAAGCTTGAAGCCATAACAGTGTCTGAGATCTCGATACCAAATTATCTCGAAAGAATCGAAGAAATAGCCAGTTTGTCTAGTCAGAATACTCCCGAGGAAGTTCGGAAAGGCCAAACTGGTCCGGCCTTACACACGTTAAGCGTGGGGCTCAAAAATTTCTGTGACGGTATTCTGTTGTCTCTGTTTGCTAGTAGACGCTCGGTTGCTCGAATGGGTGCTTTGAAACAAATCTACGCTTGTGCTCCTACTAATGAACCTTTCTTCTGCGGTGCGTCGGTCGTTATAGCGCTATCTGTCTTTCTCGAATTAGCAAGCCGCCACGGAGTGAGACTCCACGTTGGGAATCTGTTGCCAGGTATTCGTCTTCAAGCCTATTAATCAAAATTGACTGCTGATCCCCCCTCCCTATTCCTTTAAAGTCAGAGGTATTGCGCTCCCACCTCTCCGTATTCCTGTCAACATGCCGCTACTATCCATTATATGCAATATGGTATTGACGGACAATTACAAGACAGCGAACTCTATTGAATGGTTCATATCGACATTCAATAATGTCAGCCATCCGACTGATATTGAAAGTGTGCGGATCAATGTGTCGCTTGCGATAACGATATTGCCTTGGGATAGGCTCCCGCAGCGTGGTGGTGATGCAGCATCTATCTCGCAGTGGGGCGCTCTTGACGAGGCACTTTGTCGACCCGAAGTGCGCCTTGAGGGTCTGCTTATCCATGTGCAGCCGGCCGGTCCGCTGTGGATGAAACTGATCGACTCTGTCGCGCGATGGTTGAGCGAAGTATGCCTTCCAAAGGCCAGGGAGAAATATCCGTCTGCGACGCCTGGGAGTACTGTTGTAGGTCACAATTCGATCGAAGAACCATTCAAACGATGGCGAAAAGATTGAGGAGGAGGGTAAATTTGCGGGAACGGAAAACCAGGATCCCAACATTTGTCCACTCACTGAAGTTATTCATGTTACCTGCGCTTCATTGCTTCGAAGCGGTTTCTTGTTATTATGATCAGCGAATTCGTTAAATACATACATCCACTGCACAAAAATGCGGGTATTTTCCCCAGACGGTCCATGGCGGGGTTATCTTCAGCCTCCACAGGAAGCATAACGTTTTCACTCATCCATTCTGCTACCCGGTAACATGGATGAACAGTTTGTCAACAACTTGAACAAGAATAGTGGCACTGGTTTAATGTGGACGAGGTAATAGCACAGTGTTTGGCAAGAATATCATCGAGACCGGGTAAACGGCGAGTTTCAGGCAGTTTGCCAAAGTTGTTTGGTATGTAGTAGTTCCAAGGTCGGAGAGGAGTAGACTGAGTGCGAAACAAGGAGATAACTTTGAAGGACAACGTAATTTTGATAGCAAGAGAATTGTGATTCGGCAGGACAGGAAAAGTGGTGGGCAATTGCAGGGTATGGCTACCTCGTGTTTCTGTGTCAGATATCTCCAGAATAATCTCAGCATGGCCTTCAGCGCTTAGATTACAAGGAAATGCGATGGCTAGGAGCCACAGGAGGCATCTAGACTACCTATTTTACACCTAGCTTGCTCTAGCCATCACGGACATTGAAGAGTGCTCGTGGTCCTACAACGCACTCATCACGGGTACTTACGGAATGAGGGTCCTCGTCGAAATCAAGCTGACGCCACCGAGAAGAGCAAACTAACGAATGATTCTACAGTATGCTCTTCTTATGGCGTTGAACACATCCGAGGGATATTACTGAACAGACAAGTCACAATCTGAAGCAAAAGGAAGACATTAGAGGGGGATCAGATTTTAAAAAATCTATTTCCAGACAGATGATGATAAGGCGGTTTTGTCCAATCAACTTCGCCTTCGCCTGCTTGGGTGCTATGTACAGCCCTGTCACCCAGACTCCTTAGATCATCAGTACCGTGACTGAATGCATCTTTCCACTGCGGAACATTCTCTGAGATCCGTTCTGAAATAACCTGCAAAAAATGTTCGCTCTCTTCCGCCGGAAAGCCCATTGGCCAACGAAATATAGGGTTTGCAGCCCACATCGGGACAAACCTTGCACCCTCCCAGTCAATAACTGCAGAGATCTGGGTAGGGTTATCCCTATGGATGAGGATGTTCTGCATGGAGAAGTCGACGTGGTCAAGAACGAATGGAGTAGCGTCATCTCTCACGAGGTCTGATCCACGAATTTCGTTAATGACTGACTTCATCCTATTCTGCTTCTGTTCGGTATGAGGAACGCGAGGGGAGAATTTGAGATATCCAGAAGCCACAGCAATAAGCCACTCGGATACGGAGAGAAACGGACCACAACGGTGCGGGTCTGGTGGTACCTGCCCGTTTTCGCCGAATTGCATCGTTGTCATAGGCCCTACAAAGAACTGTCCATGTAGGTCCTGGAAGAGGCTACCAATCTGTGGAAGCCGTATGTTCATCAGCTCCGAGTAAACATCAGCGATGGCGGTGCATAGCTGATGTTGTTGGTCAGCACTCAATTCTTGCCACATCCAATTAGCTGGTACGCCTTTAATCTGAACAACATGGGTGAATTATGGGACGTCAAGAAGGCATAACACTAACGTATTCCATAGCCATCCAAGCGCCACCAACTGCATTATCCGTATCGTTGTCATAAAAGAACACGCGAGGTACAGGGATTGTGGTGTGAGCCTCAAGAAATCGCAGTGTCGCGACCTGAAAAGACCAGGAGAATCAAATGAGAAAATATAATTGAATCATACCTCTGAGGGAAGCTTTGTGTGGGTGCTTATGCCATATCCAATGCCCTTCAGAAAGCACCAATAGCTCACTCGCACTAAAACGCGACCATGGTCGTGCATGTCCGCAAGGTATGTCTGGAAATAATTACACCGGCAGCAAATGAGATTCATATATTGGTACTTACTATGTTATATGTGCCTGTAATCTCATCGAGTAAGAAGGAATATCGACAGCGATAAGCACACATACCTTCAACAAACTCCTGCAGGAGCTCACATTTGTCTTGAAGACCAGCTTCAAGCCGGGTCTTCAGAATATCTTTGTTGATATCTGTCATTTATGCTGGTAATATTTGCTATGGTAAAATGTCTGCAAGTTCCTATGCCTGAGCGAGCGCAGGGACCAATCAAGTGCACAAAATATAAGGGGAAGATCGATCGGCAAACTCCGAGTCCGAGTATAACCAGGATTCCATCACAATGCAGGCTTGTACTGGATGACAGTGGGTGTGAAATATTCGCTTATCGTTCCTTCACAACGTGTCGGATTTCGATTTCCAGATCTGTACCCCAGACACTATGTGGCTTGTTTCTTGCTGTCGAATCCGGAAGCTTTTTCATGTCAAAAGGCTATAAAGCTTGACGACTCCGTTTTTTGTACTCCAGCGCCCAAGGCTTGAATTTTTACTTCTTTAAATCTCTCGTCCCCTCACTATTCCATTCCGTCGCAATGCCTGATGTCGGGAAAGAAGGAAGAAGTATCTCCACGACCGTGTGGAAGCCCGACATCCGATTCTCCGTGGATGATGAGCATCTTAATCGTTGTGTGGTTGTCGGTGTTGCTACTGAAAGCGATGAATTCAAACTCTACCACTATACTTGTAATGTGACTCGTTCGTTATTTCTTTCAATTTTTCCCATTTCAAAATAGATTTACTGACTACAATTCCTGTCCAGACGTCTCTACGTTACAGAACGATGCAAGTTTGGATCTCTACCTAGTGCTGGTTGCTCTGCTAATGTTATGTTTAATTGTAGCCCACGAAGAGTACTGGCCACTGGACTTTTCAACGTTCGACTGTGCATCACAATCACGGGGTAAACATCTATAACCGCTGAATTGTCACTGTCACTGTACGTCGGCTTTCAACCTTTTGTTGACGTTTCTGACCCCAATTGATCAAAAGGGGTATCACGGCCATCGAATGCCTTTCATTATATATATCGATTAACATCCTCAGTTCATAAAGTCCTAGTACACATTTCACGTTATTTTGCATGAGCCTAACGTCGAGAATTATCTTCCCTAATACTCCAGTTATCAGTAGTTCGCGCTATTAGTACTAGATCAGTCAGGATGAAAGTTTCCATGTATCTAAGTAGAACATCGTAATTGCAAGACAACCAAGAGATACGACAAACTGAACAAAATTTAGCATTAGTCATGTCGGGCTACGGCCGCTGGTATAATGCGAACCGCGAGTTTGATGTATATCTACCGGTATTCATCCAAGGGAGAAATAGAGCACGTCTAGATCATTTATGGTGCAATCGTTCGACCGAGCCTGGAGAGGGTGAAGAGGACCGGCCCTGGAAAGAAATATAACGCAGTAATGATAGCTGAACAACAGCTCATGGTCTATATCTCTAAGATCTCAAGTCATTAGCCAAGTTAAGCTGAAACATTAGTCGTGGAAACAAAGAAAACAAGAGCCAAACATGATATCTCCAAGGAGTCGGACCGCAGTCTGGGATTAAAAATAGGTTAGGATGGGGCAAAGATGAAGTCGTTGTACCTCAGCAACTAAAAGGCGATGAGGACATCAAATTTGTCTATTGTCCGTGCTTGGAGTAACTCCACAAGGCATCAACGTTCTCGTATATGTATATCTGGTATTCCGGAAAAAGAGAATGCTTCCTTAACGGATTAGATCACTGTTCAAATATCAAGGACAGGGTCACAATGATGGGGAGAATGGACACCCACTATTGAGGGTCAAAATAGATGTGTGCCGTGCGAAACACTCTCAGAAGGTTCTTTGATAGGATTATAGATGAGGAATAACCTTCGTCCAGCTAACCTCCTCCAAAACACCCGGTTGGAGGAATCTGAGGGAAAGAAAAGCTTCTACCAATAAAATCATCCTTGCGAGGAGATACAAGAGTATCAGGATAGGCGTAGCCGCTTGGATTGCTCGTACAACCTTGCGGTTGGGCAGTATTCTGATGAACGCAAGCTGCATCGCCAAGACAACCGGGACGGCTGCCATAACAAGTGACGATATACGCCAAAGAACGCGTTCTGCAACAGAAGCGAAGGCGAATGACCAGGCGATACAGTGAATTCCGCCGAAGAGGGCTCCGACAGCGGCACCAAAGTATCCGATGTACCATGTCCTTTCATAATCCAGTGTACCAGCCCAAAGAGTCGGTACACCGCCGTAGGCATTACTCCATCCTCGTCCAAACAATATCCTTCCCATGGTCCGGCGATACCACCGGAGTGTGGATTGGAAGGCTTCCGTGGTAAATCCTCTGTATGTGGCGTAAGAAAGCCATTGGCGTGCGTCGGTGTAGGTGTAATCAAAGTATGGGAACCGTTGGAGATCTGAGTAACGATGCCTGAGACTGGTGGGTTGAGGATGGTGAGGCGAGCCGGACAACAAGGAGCCGTGTGGCGGCTCTCTGGCATGTGGTGTTCTATTGAGAAATAAAGCTCTAGAGAGCCCAATGTCTGTTACGTTGGAAGAGAACGTTGAGCTATGACTCGCGAAGGTCATAGTATCTACACTTTCGTAAAACTCTCTCTGCTCAAGAATTGAGCAGGTATTGATTGGGCAACGTACATCGAGTGGTTTGTGCCACCACAAGACGTAGTTGAGGATGTTCAAGACCGCGAAAGCAAGAGTCGCGGTTTCCAGTTGGGTGATGGGAAGGGATTCTTTGAGCCGAGCTAGATACTGGACGACGAACCAGGTCGTCTGAACAATAGCAACGAGCTTCGACAGTGCATCTCCTTTACTACGATCCTGCAACTCTTCCTCGGTGACGCCGGATATCGACGACATGTCTAATTCGGGTCGGACCGAAAATGATTTTTGAAAGAGTGCCAGACCGTCTAGCTGCAGCAGATCTGTGATTTTTATGGGGGTTCCGCCAGCACCAATGAATCCTCCCATGCTTATAAAAAATCCATGTGTCATTGACAAGCTGAAGTCTGGGGCCAATGTCAGTCTTCACCCGGGAATATACCGCGTCGCACGTACATTTAGATATTATTGTCGCAACCATCCATTGACGGAAGGCCCATATGATTATAACTTCGGGAACGGTGATAGCTATGAGCATGAGCTTCAGTCGGTGGAGCCCGATGAAAGCCCATCCGCGAGATTTGAGATCGGGACCTGGGACGTTTGGATGCACGGCGACCCAGGTGCAAGCGAAGACCGTCGCGATGCAGCTGAAGATTACATCCCAGGTGCTTCGATAGTCTGATGAACCATTCAGATTAGCTTCGTTTTGAGCGTTGCTGGCCTGAACACACTTCCGCGACAGCGGAAGGATAAGACCAAGCAGATGTGAGACCAAGGGCTGGGGTTTCCTGTATTTGTGGTTAGAAAGAATGTTGAGAAACAGAGTGTCTGAACGTTCACATCTCGAAAGCCTTATAAAAGGTCTGCAACAAGAAAGATGGGGAGTCAGCTTCTCCGAATTTAGTGAAAAAGTGAACGATGAGTATCACATTATGTCTGTTAACAGGTACTACATAACCTCCGTTCTGATGCGGTTCCTGGTTTCCGAGTGATTCCATCTCCTGTTAGGATTAAGAGTCATCAAGAAGAGAAACAAGCCAAGCATGCAAAGCATAGTAACTGGATGTTGTTACAAGCCTACGAGCCAAGAACTTGCATCCTGGAATGAACAGCAGAGCAATTTTCGCTCTGTGACAGTCAAAATGCCCTGAAATTTTTAGTGGTTCGTATTCTGCCGGATATCGGCCCGTGCCCGTGACAGGTGGCTGTGAACCGGATTTTACCAAGTCACAATGATGTTCAACGATAACGTGCCTAACTTTCGAATTGCCGATCCCTGGTAGGTCGAGTCAATCTTGAGAAACATGCAGCGTCTCTTATTTATCATATAAGACTCAATAAACGGGAAGCAGGAGCATGTCTTTCCCACTTGAAAAAAGGGCCCCGACCTTGGACTGGTACAACTTCACGTATGAAAAGGAAAATGATAACCAGTGGCTAGGATGGAGAGCTTCAGTCACCATGATGAGGGGTAAGTGAACAGTAATGCGTCAACTCGTATCGCCGTTATCGACGCATCTTCGTATAGGCGGAATTCCTTTTCGCATTTCTGACTGCGAGATGCTAGTGTTCCACTCAAGTCTCAATTGGCTTTTTCGATACTACTGCTTATGCATATATCTCGGTGCTCTCATCCTCCGCTGGGTTAAAAAAGTGCGCATATTACCTCCGTGCTAGCGCTCACAACCACAATTGCAACGGGGAATTGAATCCATCGGTAGCGACCGCAGCAATATGTTGAAATACGCCCTGCAGCGTGGGATGGTCCCCAAGATGGGATTGCGTGAGTATGTTCATCGACGATAACGACTTAGTTACAAGTCGTTAATGTTCATAGGTTCCGACGTCAGTGGCTCGAGGATACACAGTGAGAATACGTTTGGGTGGCAATCGATGGGCGGTTCACAGTTGTTGTCAGGTAAAAGGGTACGTGGTCATGTCTTTTCGGCGTTTCTATACTAAATATCCACGTCGTGTTACATCAGGTTTTCCAAAGTCTACTCCCTCCTATCAAATCACACCCACCAGCGAGCCCACAGCTATATCTGGGTCTGATATCGTTTCTTTGCCTTTACGCTGCGAAATCTGACTGCCTTCTTTGGGGCAATCTTCTTCACCTCCGGCTTTTTTCTACCAGCAGCGATAGCATCCTCCAGCGTAGGCAAACTGCATGTTGGGATAGGCGGAGATGGTCGGGCGTAGATCCAGGTTTTACCCTCTTCGGGGGGATGCGGCTCTGGGGTGGACATCCGCAGGTTGGACGTGGGTGCTTGGTTGGGGGTTATCACGATCATCGTGAGGACGGTGAAATGGCGGAGTATGTGCCTTTCTTTGCTCTCCTCGTGTTTATAAGTGCTGGTTGTTGATCATCGACTTTCAAGGTTCACAAGTACAACACGACCCATTGCCGTGATCCAGTGGCACATATCGCTTCCCGTTTTCCTTGTTAGTCCGGATACAGTCTCTTTTTTAATTCAAACGAGTTCAATCGGTGACCCCCCGTCCGTCCAATGCTGCGCAGTGAATTTTTACTGTTGCAGAGGTATAGGGGGGTCCGTCAAGAATTGAAGCTTGCAAGAAGTCACTTCGAGACTCGAACTTGGAAGAAACTTTGATGGTCGTCTGGATAACTCAGAAATGTTGTTTATCTTAATTCGCCCGGCCTCGATGACGTGTGAACGCACTATTTCGGTTGGACAGACCCATTACCGAACGACCAGTCGGTGCGTCCATCGAAATGACGGTCCGACGATCACGTGCTTTAAGCAGCGGGCCACAGAAGACCCCGAGCCGAATTTGTTGACATCATAATGATATAAACTCACATATTCGGTTCTTTCTCACTCTTCTTTCTCAATGTCAACCACAAAAGTCGACGGCCGTGCCATGCTGGCAGCTACGATAGCCAGTGGACCCAAACCGCGCGTTTTTGAGGACAAGCTAGAGGAAAGGGCATGGCGCAAGTTCAGATTGGCGCAAGCTCTGAGGATATTTGGTACGAGCACCTTCTCAACTGCTGCGTCACGACAAAAATGATGACGAGCTTACCAGGCAACCGAGGCTATGACGAAGGAATTGCAGGGCATATCACAGTTAGGGTATGTATGTACATTCATTCATTTCTGCACGTTTACTCACCAACCCACCTTTTCCAGGATCCAATTGAGACAGAATGTTTCTGGGTCAATCCATGGGTACTGGTGCTCGTCGAGCTCTACTGCCTTTGACTGTCTGATGGATCCCAGGGTCTCCACTTCAAGCTCATCCAGCCGGAGGACCTCCTTCTAGTTGACTTTCAGGGAAAGATATTGCAAGCTGGGAAATACCCCATGTTGAACACTGCGGCGTTTCTTATTCATTCGAAAATCCATGCGGTCAGGCCTGATGTGATATGCGCGGCACATTCGCATTCCCTGTATGGAAAGGCCTTCGCGGCGCTGGGAAAGCCACTGGATATGATTTCGCAGGATAGTTGCGCGTTTTATAATGTAGGTTTGAGCCATTTCGTGAACGCGTGTTGGCGCTGGCGCTGATGCGGAAATAGGATCATGCGGTGTACACGGATTATAGAGGCATTGTGTTTGACGTTGAAGAAGGGGATGCGATCGCTAAAGCATTGGGATCATACAAGGTCGGGGGGACACTATTTGATCTCCAATATAGAACGCTCATCAGTGGTGTCGTAGGCGGCTATACTCCAGGTACAGTGCAGCAAATATCATGATATCTTAACTCGGCGGAAGCTGATGTATTGCCAGAATCATGGGCTGCTTGTTGCTTGTGATACGATCGAAGCGGCCGTATGGTTTTACATTTCTCTGGAGAAGGCATGTCAAGTTCAGCTCCTTGCTGATGCCGCAGGGAAGACGGTGAAGATTTCGTCTGAACAGGCTGCAGAGACGGGCTCGAAGGTTGGAAATAAGATTGCGGGATGGTTCAGCGGCCTAATGGAGTTTGTTTTGTTGGAGAGTGAGGAGCAGAATTCCTTCGTGTACTCGAAAGAGTAACGTTCTTTGTAATCATTGAGTTCGATATACTAGAGACAGATAGTTCATACATGTTAAAGCAACGACAAAGCTACGAGCAAAGCAAAATTGTACGAGAGAGCGGTAGCGTGTAATTTGTTCAGTGGATACATACTGGGATGCGAGGAAATTCTTCTTTTCTTCACTAATTAGTAGTCAAGAACTTCCTCCCATACTTCTTTTTAGTCTTGGGCAGACACACTGTAGAGAGCCATGTCGACAACGCACTCATGCTGAATCCCTCCCGGGCGCGCAAAGACTCAAACATCACCAGGGAAACTTCCTCTACCTTGAGCTGAGGTCGAGTGAGGGCATCGTCAAGCACCGCCCAACCAGGAACTGTTGTTGGAAACTTGTTCCAACTCGCACGGGGGATGTTTTCGATGTCGACCTCCATTTCGATGGTCACCCTGGAAAGGTGGCGCGGGCGCTTGAGCTGGTCGAGAGTGGAGGCCCACCAGTTGAGGGTCATGTTCGTCTCGTAGTTCGCGCCGGTGATGAAGACGCAGAAATGGACGTGGTGGACGGCGTCGCCGAGGTCGAGGGGCTCGAGGGGGGTGACTATATACGAGGGGGGGGGGGGGGGGAGGAATTTGTATCAGCATGCGAAAAGAAGGTTATGATTGGACGCGCATGGAACTTGCCTATATTGAAACTGTCGATGTCGATCTCCCAAAGGATGGGACAGAGCCTGATGATACGGGAAAGGCGGCGAACGAAGTTGTTGTCGTTGCATATGACAGGGGAACGGTGTCGGAGGGTCAGCTTGGAGAGGTTGCGCAACGCGACGGGCGAGCGGCGGCTCGCGAAGAGGTCGAGGAAGATCCAGCCGGTGGTGGTATCGATGTATAGGGAGATTTCCTGGATCTCTGGCCCTTGTTGCCCGTCGCGAATCTCCCTGGGGGCGACAGAGGCGGCCTCCACGGGATCCGCATGCGCGCTGTTGGACGACTCGTATTCCCGGATGTCGATGTCCTGCGTCTCTAGGATCTGGAGGTTGGAGTAGGACCTGACGAGGGATATGAACTGCGATTCGTTGCATTTGATGGTGTGTATATTCAGGATGCAGACGTTGGGGAACGAGGAGAGCGCGGTCATGAGGACGGGGGGGTTCCTGGCCTCGAGAAAGTTTTGGTGCCAGATGTTCATGCTGTTGACGGGGATGCGGGGGTCCTTGAGTTGGGCGAAGAGAAAGGGGATGTACTCGTCGCGTCCGATTTGGTCTGTTTTGCTGTTGATGTAGAGGGAGGGACCATATTGGTCTATCGGTGCGGGACCGGCGTCTGCTGGAGCGCCGAGTAGGGGGAGCAGACCAGAAGCAGCTTGTATGTGAGAGGCCAAGGCTTGGGTTGTGTAGGTCTGGTTCCGACCGTATTTGAGAAAGTCTTCCAAGGTGGGTGTTTGGGCGGTAGGAGCCCTGCGTCGGGGCGGCATTGTCAATCTAGAGAAGGGGTGAGATGGTCATTGAGACGGAAGAGAGCGGAGGTAAACCTATCACCAGATCAAGGCACGATGATGGAGTGAGTTGAACGGGGGAAGGAGAGGTGTATTTATATTCCTTGAAGGTGCTGAGCCACTCGAAGAGGAGCCACTGAAACCTTGACCGATTTAGGATTTCATCAAACGAATGCCTATATCTATAACTATCAGGGTCGTGTTGTTAGTCAGAGGCTCAGGAACATGCACGTACGGACGCGTCGAGATGTCGTTATGGCCGAATTAGGGCACAATGTGACTTATTATCCTCCCTGGTGCCATGGTATTTCCGTTTACAATAGAGGCTGTAGTTGTGGCACAGAAGAAGGATAAGTCGGAGTGGTAAAAATCAACACTCCGTCCGAGATCCTGATGCCTCGAGGCCTCGCTTTAAACAACTGGGCGCAGCAGTCTTGAGGCATCTCCTTGTCGACCTGGGCAGGCCCGGGTACGCTTGTCAGGATCCTTTCATGTCTCAGGAAATTTTCGCAATCTTCAGTCTGTCGTCCAGGGATTTATCGTCCAAAATGTATTATTGGAAAATGGTTCTATGGATTGGGAGTAAGAATCCAAATCAAAGCCTTGGGAGGAAACTAGTGTAACCTACATCAAGCAGGCCCCGGTTCAAACTACGGGATAGAAACGTTTTCAAGGCTTATTGTTGGTGTGTTCACCAGAAGTGGAGAGAGCAAGTACGTGTTGCTTGGATACTCGGATAGCTGAAACGATCCGAGTCTAGTTGGCAAAGTAATTGTCGAATAGCGGCGCCACGTTGTATTCTAGGATACCTTTTTCGGAGGTAAAATCAGTACTGAACAACAGAATGAAATTGTTCTTGTACACATATTCCGAGTGTTCGACGGTGGAACAACGTTGCGGGCAAGTCCGGATAGCCACGTGGAAGGCTGATCTGACCGGATCATCATTATCTACAGATTTTAGCGTTATCTGTGAAGCATTTCAGGTTCGATGGCCCTCGCCTTTACCACCTCTATATAAAGTCTAGGCATCTTGCATGGGATGTGCTGAATTTGGTATCAAAAATGCCTCCGGGAAGTTCAACTCCATTCCTGGACAACTTACGGTGGTAAAAATTATTTCGTACGTGCGCCTTCTTCGGAAATGGCCGCTGGTTTAGCATTCGTTTAGGATCCAGCCATGTCCCTGAGCACCGAGCATACCAAGGGCCGCTACAACTCGGACCGAAGGGCCAGGTATCTCCAATCTTTGGACTACGTTTGATGAAACAATGAGTATTGACGACGGTTTGCACAGACGAAGAAAAGAGAATCTACGCGTGTAGAACATTGTCCTCTCGTTTGGGTATTATGGACCGAGCAGAGTTCTATTGTCTCTTGTAGGCGAGTATGTGCCTCGAACCTCTGTTTAGAAATCCGCTGATTGGTAGGACGTAGACGCTGGCGAATCCAAGCAACTATCGCTGGCTTATTGTGTCCATATTGTGGCGTTTTGGGGCGAAGTAACCGCTGCTTTCAGGATATATACAGCCTTAGCCATATGCCTACCCTTCGTCGTCGCCTAGTCCAACCCAAAGTACCTTCCTCTTCTTTCGACCTTCTTTGACGCTGACATGCCCCCGTTTCTAGAGCTATGGCGCCGGCCATATTTTTCAGTGCGTATTTGACGCTGGGGAAAGGTCAATCGCTCCCTTGCCGGGACCTGTACTCGCACATTCAACTCTCCCCCACGAAGCTCCGTGCTTTGGCTCGCTTGGATCAAAGAGCCTTTGCATCTCCAGAAGCCAACGGGGAAGGGAGCGAGTTGGTCATCGACGATCCCAACTCCGCTATCCTTGGGCGCGACCAGTTCTTCCATCTCCTTCTCAAACGTCTCAAGGATCCGCAGATTCCAATTGCCCGCTTGAAGCTGTCTGGCTTGAGCTGGTTCAGTGTTCCTGACGTGAGGTCGTGGCACATCGCGCTCACCTCGTTCCCGAATGTTTCCTCGTTGTTTCTCGATGGTGTCAAATGTGATGAACTTCACTTCCTGGCGCTTATTCGGTCGTTCCCCACCTTGAATCGTCTGAGACTTGACGAGAACAAGATCCGGGCGTACGAGTCGACGAGAAGTTTGGGGGTGGAGAATGTCGAATCACGGTTTACGAGCATCGAGGACATTTCTAACGGACAGCGGGGGCCCGAACTGGATGTTCTTCATGTTGGTATCACCACTATCTCCGACCGGATCATGCTCGACCTCTTTACGACTCGAAACTCTCCTGTCGTCCTCCGACATTTGAAGGAGCTTATTGTCCGGGACCATGCCAATTTCATGTGCGACATAAGCTTCGTTCGCCTTCTGAATATGCTCCTCGAATTGACGACCTCCCTGTTTGATCTCGACCTCGATAACTTTAGCATCAGTATGTGCACAGATCGCGCTTTCATATGGTCATCCATTGATTATCTTTCTGTAGCTCGGTTTCTCCCCCCTCTGAACATTCCGAACCTTCACTGGTTTCGCTTCACCATCCGTTTGAACTACGCGTTTCAGATGGACCAGGCGATCTTTTGGTGGATAAATACGCTCCTCCATCTGCCGAGGGAAAACCAACTCAGGATGATCACGGTCACAGTGGAGATCGATGCGGAGTCGATTCCCAGTGGTGCTCTGTTCCCTCGTGACATCTCTGCGTGGACTGCATTAGACCGAGCGATATGCCGCGACGAAATCCAATTGGAGGAACTGTTCTTCAAGGTTTGCGCGCCTGAGGACAACGGGACTATTTATCGCTGGATATGCACGCGATGCCTTCCCGAAAGCCGCCAGCGGTATGCGATGCGGTTCACTGAGGACGATTCATGCTTTACCTTGCTGAATGTCCGTCATCAGGAGGTGAATCTTGAGGATTTCTTGTAATGCTACAGAAAAATCTTGAAGAAGTGTATGTAACTTGGTGGGGGTGGAAAAATACTGTTGACGTAGGGTTAGGGTTAAAATGCTTTGTATGTTTATGTTTTCAAATTGCTATCGTGACGTACGTTGATACGTTGCTCTCTACTGTCACCATGGACGATGAAACGGCAGAAATCGAGCTGGTGCGTCCGTCATGCTCGATATACGTGTAAATGGAACCTCAAGTCTTGTAGCTGGAGCAAAACCTTAATAAAACGAGGCAAATATCGCAAAGAATGACAAGTAAATTTCATGCGTTTTCTGGTAGGCAAACACTTAACCAAACAGCAATTCTTAACAGCTTCGATACGCGCCTCGCCAAGCTGGAGAAGTCTATATTACCGCTGTATACGTCTACGCAGATCCTCAACCGACGTGCAGGCAGTAGGTCGCGGTTTTTCAAGCAAGGACGGTGAACTGATGCTCAGTAGACATCGAGAAGGCTTTACTCAAGATTGATGAACTGGCGAGCAATCAGGAGGGCATTGCAGTTGAGGAGGCGTTGATTCTCCGTGGGTACGTATATCCCTCCCTTCTCTTTGAATTCGTCTTACTTATCGTCGCCAGACCACAGCCCAACCAGCTCGATGCATATAGGGATGCATTGGAACGTCTCAACGCCGCCATTGCCTTCAAAGGTTCTGAGAGCAGCTCACTGGAAACGGTGCGTTATAGTATCCATCTCGTTTCATATTTTTCTAATGTTGTATCTAGGCTCGGTTGGTCGAAACGGGGGCCAAGAAATTGGCGCAACTCTACACTAAACTCGTTGCGGAAGGCTCATCGGGTTCTACGCCACCGCCAGGCTCCGATTTTCCTATCAATCCTTTTCCAACATCGCTGCTGGAGACTCTCGTTCCTTTGGTAGACTTTCTGCGCACGTTGCCGTTGCCTTCGACGCATCCATCACACCCTACTTCACCCTCTATATTGTCTACACTCAAGGAAGCACAGAAGGGATATGCGGACATGCGTGGCGCGTGGTGTCGCAAATGTCTAGAAGGTCAGGGCAAGCGAATGCTGGATCGTGCCGACACTATCGATCCTATAGCAGCTGGGCTGGAGTTTGGGAAATGGTCTGAATCGATACTTGACGTGGCCGAGGTCTGTATTGAATCCCAATCTCGTGATAACTTTTTTTGAACACTGTATGCAGGAGGAATTCAACCTTCTTAAAGATCTCTCACCGCTTTCGAATTCGCAGCTCGCATATGGCGCTCTCATGAACCCGATCCTCGTGCTCTTCAGTAGTACGCTCAATTCTCTCATCGGTTTCATCAAGCGTTCCCTGCACAAGTACAATTTTCTCGCCCTTTCCTCGTACGAATATATGCTGTCTTTGCAATCTCGGTGGGACAAGACTATGGTTCGAAGAGGCACCGATGCCCGGAAAGAGGCAAACGAGTTTAAAGACGGTTTGCAGAGTCTTCGAAATGTTTGTCTTCGGAGCTTTCCCGAGTTCCTAGCCGACGTGAAAATGGCATCTATGGGCAAGGGAGGAGAGTTAGGCACTACGCTTGCCGATTTCGTCGTTTCGGTATGTGTCTGCGTGCCCGTTATGCCTCGTGCTAATAATCATTGTTCGGCAGACGGTCAAGTACCTGGACCGCTTGCCTGAGGTGCAGAGTGCCGCAGGCGCTGCGTTGGTGACCTTGGGTGATGGCAACTGGAAAATGGGCGAAGGTGTCCAGGTGGGAAAGGCCTCGAAACTTGGCGAAGGCGATGAGCATGTTATCCTGGAGCACTATATCTGTGAGTGAAATTGTTCCTCTTTGATCCCAAACCGTATTTAAGTGCATGTTGTGGCAGATGATGTGGTTAATACAACGATCAACAGTCTTAATGTATTGTCGCGCACACAGAAGCGGGCCGTACTTTCTTCCATCTTTCTCCTTAACAACATTGCGTTCCTGCGGAGAAACATCCTCTTGGATCCCAAGCACGACGCGTTGATCGATATGCTCTCCAAACCAACGCAAGACGTTATCAATTCCAACTTTCGTATGGCTAAGGCGGCATATTTTGATAGCAACTTTTCTCCGCTTATGCAGGCACTAAGCGAAGATCCCAAAGAGAAGGGGAAAGCGGCTACCAAGGAGAGGTTCACGAGGTTCTACGATATGTTTGATGAGGTCATCGAGCGACACCGGGGCGTGGTGGCTGTTTTGGACGATGACGAAGAAGGGAGGGCGGAGCTCGGGGAAGAGGTAGTCAAGTTGATCGTACCTTCATTAGAAAGGTTTGTGGCAAAACATAGGGAGAAGGAGTTCAGTAAAAGTGAGTTTAATTTGCTGAATTAGACGGCATCACTGACCTTCTGCTGCGTAGATCCTCAGAAGTGTACGTTTCTTTCCATTTTGATTTTCCTGATGCTCTTTTACTGATGCTTCCTCACAGATATAAGACTTTCAGTAGAAGATGTAGAAACGCAGCTACGATCTATATATCGATAATTTCTGAATGGTATGTATTCTTGCGGTGTCTGTGTGTTGAAAGCAGGTTGTGTAGCGCAGCGGGAGAAGCCAGGTCTGGAGTCGAAGGTCAAAAGCTGGGAAGCGTTGACCTTCGATCTCCAGTATTGGTAGCTACGATTATGTAAGATAAGAGCGACATGGAGGGTGTTCTACTTCAACACTCTGTACAGTTCGATAGAGGTTGCCATGCAATGACTGAAAAGGTCGATATGTCTGCCTGCATCATGATGTGTCAATTGACGACCTAGGATTCGGGCTTTCCCCTCTTGTGACTTGATACCTGAGATCAAGCCATCCTCCAGTGCTATGGCATCCATCATCAGTGGTATATTTTTCCTCGGTCGGTGTCCTGGGGGCTTTACCATACCTGGCCCCCTGCATCTCAAGAGCTATGACTCATGGTTCTTGTACTGGCACTGCCTGATGCCTCCCAGGAGCCGGTTTGGAACTGCCACAAGTAAACATGTATATGGTGGAGCAAAGAAGGTTAAGATCCAAACCTCTGTTTTCATGCAACAGCACTCAAGGGCCATTCATGATTGTAACTACAGTTGACTCTGTCTTAATCCATATCTGTAATAACCCATACTCTACAGTAATCCATAGATTTTGGCCATCTACCAACTTGGTTACTGCTTAAAAATTGAATCTCTCCCATACTCCATAACCCATAATTGACCTAAAGTTGTGAATTTTTGCTGAATTTAGTGCATTTTGCATGAAAGTATTCATAAAATTAATGGCTACACCCTCTAAGCATCATAATATGAGCCTCTCAGCCAGAAATTGCCGAGAACACCTTTTCAATGTCGAAAAAGCTGCTCGATGTGCTCAAAGATGGCCTCACAAAGCTTGAGAAGCAAGTAAAAACCAGAAAAAATGATCTTCTTGCTTGTCTTGCTAATAAGCAGCCTATATCTGATGACAATGAGCACTGGTGGGACAATGAAGCCAATCTTGTCAAGGAGGTCACAATTCTTGACTTGCTGGATCAGGCATCCAATTACAACCATGGGTTGAAGCACCTGAACTCACAGCAGAAGTCATTGATGGAGAAATTGAAGGAACTTGGAAGTGGGATTAAAAGTCTGATGCCAAGTAAGAAGAGGAAGAGTAAGCACTGTTCTGGATCTTTGGACTCTGGCTAACCAAACTCTGATGCTATAAGACCTGAGGAGTGTATCAAAAAGCCACATGCAGATGAGCAACCAAAGCCACCAGTCTTCATCAGAAAGGAAAATGCAGCATTGAAGCAAAAAGTCGAGATTATGGATTGGCACCATGCACAAGGTCCCAAATTTAAGCAGGGAAAGACAGCTGAGCATTGGAACCAGATTTATCCAAATCTTCAGTTGAAGCAGCCTACAATATCTGCATGATTGAAGGAGGAGCAGAAAATATGGGATCAGTATGCAGCAATGGTAGCAGGTGGACAGGCAGGGAATTCAAAGTGTGTAAAGCAAACTGAGCATCCAGAGGTCAATGAGATGCTGGAGTTGTGGATTTTGAAGGCTATGGCAGATGGGGTCCATCTCAATGGGGAGATTTTGAGGCAGAAGTGGACATGGTTTGCTGATCTTGTGGGAGTGCCCCAGGATGACCAGTTGGCACTGAGTGAGGGCTGGTTGTCTGGTCTCAAAAAATGATATGGCTTGTATAATATCAAGCACCATGGGGAAGCCAGTTCAGCTAAGCCTGAGGACATTGATGCTGAGCACAAGCATATACATGAGCTCATTGCAAAGGATGGATATTGGCTGAAGGACATTTTCAATATGGATGAGACAGGTTTATTTTGGGCATAAGTGGTTTCCTGTTTCTGCTGATAATTCTCCATCCCTTATATTTGAGAAGAATGCCACCAGATTGAGGTCTCATAGACAGACCACCATTGGAAGTCAAGGAAAGCAAGAAACATCTGACATATGTATTCACAATCAATGCCAGTGGGTCTGAGAAGCATGTGCCATTCATTATTGGCAAAGCTGAAAGACCATGAGCATTTCTAAAGAAATCAGATGCTCAACTCAGATTTTATTATCACAGTAATGCAAAGTCCTGGATGACAACAGTTCTGTACAGGGAATGGATTAAAGATTGGGATTCAAAAATGCAATGAGCAAACTGCAAGATATTGCTTCTCCAGGACAACTTTAGTGCTCACAGTGTTCCAGATGATCTTACAAACATCCATGTTGTGAATTTTGCACCAAATCTCACTGCCTATGTCCTGTCAGATGATACAGGTATCATTCAATGCTTCAAAGCATACTACTGATGTTATTTCATGCAATGTGCCATTGATTGTTATGACACTGGTGTTTTCCCTGCTCAAATCTACAATATCAATCAGCTTAAGGCCATGTGACTTGCTGATCTTACTTGGCATGAGGTGGATGCTTCTACCATCCATAACTGCTGGTGCCAGGCTGACATTCTCCCAGACCCACTTCTTAATCCCATAGCATTGACTTCTACTCTAGTTGTTCCAGTTTTATCACTTCTGAACACAGGAGATTCAGACACTTATCTTGCAGCAGCTGAAAAGGAGGTTTCAGACTTGTTGTCCCATCTCTGGAGAATTAGTGTGTTGCAATCACAGAATATGATGGCCATTGATGAGCTTATTGATTTTGCATTAGAGTGGGTTCTCTATGATGATGGTTCAGATGAAGACATCTTTGATGCAATCAAGGAGTGTAGAAATGCAGAGCAAGAAAAGGAGATGAACAGTGGTGATAATAGAGGTGATAATGATGTGGCATACAAGAAACCATCACAGAAAGAAGTGCTTGCTGCTGCTTCTACCTTACAGAGATATGTTGCAGATGTTGATGAGCCATTTGCCCACAAACTTGAGACTGTTCTCACCAACTTTGGTTGCCAGACACACCTAGAAGAGTCCATGGAATTGACCACTATTACTGATTATTTCTCTTACCAATCATTGCCATACCTCTAGATGATAGATACATACATAAAATAGATGAATTGTCATGTTAAATTGCTAAAAAATACATCCTTATACTGACTCTGCTGTAACTCATACTCTATAATAACCTATAGTTTTGGGGGTCCACTGACTGCTATGGATTAAGACAGAGTTGACTGTGAACTTCTTTCATTTTTTATGATATGGCATCAAGAGTGAACCAAACTATCCAATATGCCTGTGGGTAAAGTTTACCAGTTGGACTGTAGTGAACCAATATCAAGATCCTTTGGGGTATATTCAATTCAATCACTAGTCTCTTTTGGTTGGTTGTAACAGCAACCTAATAACTGTGACTTGTGGACAATATAATGATGCTAATGATGTCGAATGAACCTTGGCCCCAATCAGAAGATGAACTAGCTATATGTACTGAAGGTGTCATCATCTCATTGTACATCTGATCTATCTTTACTTCATGAGCTTTGTTGTATGTGATTTTCAGCAATCAAAGAAAAGTAAGTGATTATTATCAATATTTGAAGACCAATGCTTATCTCTGTGTAGTATCAATGGATATCTACACTATCCAGAATGTTGTTGCCATCTTTAACTGCCTTCAGCTTCTAGGCTTGAGCTTCTTGCTAGTGGTCTTGCTATCTGCTCTGTTTTCTGCTCATATGAAGAAGATGAGGACTTGGCATGTGATGATCATTGCTAGCATCATATCTAACCTCTGTTACATGTCTCTTGTTATGATTTTTCCATTTCCTTTCTTGATTAACCTCTATTTATGCTTAATCAGAGTGCTAACACAGATGCTTAAGACCATGGGACAAGGCTTAGTCATCACAACTAACCAAGTCCATCATTGTCTTTTGATGCAGCAGCATTGCCCAATGATACACAATTGTCTTCTTATGAATGGTAGTGATGCTCAAGGACAAAAAGCACAAAGGACTTGACAATGCACAATTAGTAGAAGTATATTTAGAGTAGGACTTATACAGTATTTAAGAGGCTCACTCTCACTGATAATCCTCAGCTTCAAGCTAAAGTTTATTCCATCTCATCCTACCCTCAAGTCAATCCTTCAGGCTTTGTGACACAATGATCAAAATATGCATCAGTGAACTCAGCTGATCTCCCAAAATGTGAGGAGACTAGGCTGTTTATCACATATATCTGTCCACATGATGTTTGAGTCTAATAATTAGCTCGAAGCTTTTTCTTTTCTTTTCTCACACACAGTAGTGTGGAGGAAACCAAACACCTTCTCTTGTATCAAAGACCTTGACTTTCTTTCTTGATGCACATTGAAAAAGCACAAGAAGACAACTCTCATCACCTATCACCCACATTATAAACTTCGATCTCATCATCAATTCCCATAAACTCACCACCCTAATCCTTGGACCTCTATTGGCTGAACTAGTCAGGAACTGACAGCCATCATTACAGAATGCCCCTATCACTCACTCTCTCCCAAATCTCTCTCTCTTGATTGGAGTCTTTTTTCAATCTGGATCAGACCCCTAAAATAAGCCTGACAATACAGATAGGAAAGATTCTCAAATGGAAGGGTCTCAAGGATCTGACAGACTCCCAACCCTTAACCCTGACATCACCACCAAGCTGGTGGAAGAGGGAAAGATCAAGCTTGGCTAATAGTAGAGAGATGAGCTTGATGAGCAGCACTGACAGTTGGCTGGACTCAACTGATCAACTGAATGGGGCCCTGCTCCAAGAGCCCAGGAACACCATAAATGAGTCTCAGACACCAAATGGAACAAAAACTCCAATGATGATCCCTACACCTATGACTAATGGGAGAATCCAGAATCAGACAACATCAGAAGAGACAGCACTGGATGAAGACTATCCTCAAGTGCCCTAAAAAGACTGGCAAGAGGCTGAAAATGAGCCTCAGGCACTGAATGGAATGAGGACCCTGCAGATGACCCTTATTCCTATGACTGATGGGAGGACCCAGAACAGGACAACACTGAGTATCCAGGAGACTGAAGATGGCTCTCAAGCACTGAATGGAATGAGGATCCCACCAACAATCCTTACTCCTATAACTGGTGGAGTGACCCTGACAATGACAATGCTGAAAAAGACACAGATAGCTCTGGCTATCTGTCTGATGAAAGCTCCATCCCCAAGAAAAATAGAGTTTGACAACCAAAGATCCAAATCAGTAACCAGGTCCTCTGATGATTCTTACATGGGTGAATCACCACCTTATTTCTTAACCTTGACTTCTATGAGAAGTTCTGACAGTACCTTAAACAAATCGATATGGAGAAGGAGTGGTGGCAGAACACTGAAAATGAATGCATCTGGAACTCTCCATTTTGGGACTTCTCTGACAAGGTCTATTCCCTCTGGAAGAGACAGGGGAAATGTCACAGAAAGGGAAAACCTCCTCTTCCTAAGTAATCTATGGCCCAGGTTGATAACCAAAGAAGAGTGGGAGAGGAGAGAAGAACAAAGAAGAAGAGAAGCTGAGCTAGAAGGTGAAGGAGAATCCTGGAGGAGCACCAGAGATCAGGGATAGTTCGAGTTGGAAGTGCCTCTGAGGCTGCTACAGAAAGCCAGGGCCCCTATTCCCCAAAAGTGACAGTGGGTGGAGAAACAATACCCAAACCTCTGGACCAGCAAGAGAAGCTGAATCCTAGGAGTCCAGCTCTCTTCTGATGAAGTAAGCAGGAGTGGCACTGGAAAAGAGCTGACCAGGGATGATCTGAAGGCAGTACGACTTGGATTTACCATTCAGGATGGAGTTATAGTGTGGAAGGAAGAACTTCCATGAGGAAGTCTGATAGCAGATGACAATTTGCTCCATTTATTTTCCAGACCACCACAGGAGTGGCAATGACTGCTATTCTCAGAGTGGCCAAACCTGATAGGTGTATTACCTGAAAATGCCACTGTCTTGCAATGCCAACCCAATCTGCTTCACAAACCCCACTCCTTCAAAGGGGCCTCTGATGATATCAACTGGTTTCTGATTGACTGTGAACAGTACTTCAAGGTCTATATCAGGTATCTGAGGACCAACATGAATAAAGTCATCTTCACTGCCTTATACCTTGAAGAGAAGGCAAAAATATGGTGGATCCTAATTTCCCTGAACTTCTGATCATTGACTCAGGAGCATTACTGATACTCCTTATGGCCTGTCTTTAAACAGATGCTCCACAACAAATTTATTGATCCTGCCATATAAGAAGTATACAAACAGAAGGTCAAAGAGTATAAGATGGCTGATAAAGCAGCCACAGACTATTTTGACAAGCTGAAATGATTGGTCAAGCTCACCAGAATACAGGATGATATCATAAATAATGGTAGAATGGTTAAAGCCCTCAAATAAGGGGTCTCCTCTTATATCACAATGATCTCTGCAATCAGCATCTGAGCTCTCATGCTGAATAGCTACAATGAATGGAAGGAATGAATCATCAAGATGTATAAGGAGTGACAAAGGCAGAAAGTGGAATCAACAATGCTACAAGATTACACAAAGAAGTCGACACTGCCAACCTCAAACAAATCATTGGGGACAACTGTCAGAAAATCATCAGGACCCTTTATGACCCTCACCTATAGCACACAGAAGACCAGAACAGAAACCACATATATAGAAGCAGGAAAACCCATGGACATAGACCAAATAAAGAAGGAAGGCAAGTGCTTCAATTGTGGCTAAAAAGGCCACATGGCAAAGGACTGCCTGAAGAAGAAAAGAACATGAGAAGACATCTGGGCACAGATTGCTGACTTGCAAAAAGAAGAAGAAGAAGAAGAAGAACTTGACACAGAAACCAGAGTGGAGGAAGTAAAAGACATGGCCAGCCAGTGAGCAATTCCACTGGACTGGCCAAGAAACTTTATGGTATGCAATCTCCAGCTATCAGTTGGACTGATAGTACTTCTGTAGTTACTTTTATGTCTACCCCTATCATGCATTCGAATATACCCCAGACTTCTATCCCACACACTAATGAATTGCCAAAAACAACTCAAGCACCCATGGGCTGAACCAGAGCAGCAAGCTCCACCACTTAGCTCAAGCTATTTGACACCAAATAGACCTGGAGAGCCATCAAGGATGCCAAGGACTGAGCAGCAGCAAAAGCCATACTAAAAAATTGGGTTCACCAGACACAAGTTGAGGAAGTCATGAATAAGGTGATTGAAGAAATAAAGGAAGCTAAATGGTGCCAAGCCCTGGAGTGGCTCAATGAACTCCATGGATCACAAAAGTTCATTTGACAGTCTAAAACACTCAGGTGGGATCTGCTTGTCAGAGCCCAGATCAAGACCCTTACATTCTGAATGACCTATGCTGTAACTGCCCTGATTGACAGTGGCTACACTGGAAGTTCAATCAATAGAATCTTTGTTGACAAGCATAGACTTCCCACCTGAGCCACAGCAGCACCAATCCTGGTCTATAATACAGATGGGACCAAGAATCAGATTGGCTTGATTACTGAGTTTATTGAGCTCAGGCTCACAATCAGAGATCATTCCAAGTGAATTGACTTGGCCATAACAGACCTTGGGACTAAGGAAGTTTTTCTTGATCATGATTGGTTAATACACCATAATCTGTTAATCAACTAAAAGACCAGGAGAATCATATTTGCAAGATGCCACCGTCAAAAGATTCTGTTTAAATTGCCAGATGAAGACCTGGAAGATCAATGGGATGAGAAGATAGAGGATGGGGAAACCATTCTTGCTGTTGACCTTCAATGAGAAATACACATTCAGGCAGTCCATCATGCTAACAACCTGGCTGCTAAGGCCAATGAGCACAAAGAGGAGAAGACCTTTAAAGAAATAGTGTCTGAATGGGCACACAATTTCAAAGATCTTTTTGAGAAGGAGAGCTTTGATGAGTTACCAGAGCCAAAGCCATGGGATCATGCAATCAAGTTGATCCCAAATGCCAATGCCAACCTAGACTGCAAGACATACCCTCTTGGCAACAATGAGCAACAGGAACTTGACAA